GTCTAATTATCAGCATCTAGTGGCGGTGATGTGAATTACACATCTCAATACAAACTGGTTGGAGACATTTTTTTTTCTCAAAATCCAAAGAACTGAGAGAGCAGTGAATATAAGAGAAACTAAATGTGAAGAAAAGGTGATTTAATGGTCTATTTTTAAAGCTTTGAAGACACAACCAGAGAGAGACTAGAAGAGAGAGTTATGTCATGTTGTGTCCAAACACATTCAAACAACAACATTTGTACAAAATAAAGTAAACACAAAAAAAGCTTCTAGTGGCAATGATGTGAATTACACCTTGTTGGATCAAAAATGATTAAAACATCCAAAGGTTTTACTGTTAGCAGTGCCGATTCTAGAGTCGGTGGGGGCTCTAGACAAACATTCACTGGGGGCCCCTCGAACCAGCTTTTCATCACCACGCACAGCCGACAGCACCCCCCCCCCCCACGTTTTGTAAAAAGTCTCATTAGCAGCATCTAGTGGCTGTTCTGTGAATTACACCTATTTATACAAATTTGTTGGATGAAACATGATAGCACAATTCTAAGGTTTTATTGTAATTTGCACAATAAATAGCTACAGTGTAGTTATAGGAAATTAAAATGTTAAGTCTTAGGCTCCTCCTACAGTGTAACATGCAATATACTTAACATAAAAGGTAAGAGAAATAAACTAATGCAATGAAATCAAAGTGCAAGTGGAGGGAAAATGTAGGAATCAGAAACTCAAATTTAATGTTCGGAAAAATGTAATGCAGTTAACACTAGCACTTATGTCACATGGCAATGTATTTTTAATTGTTCATTATTGCATGGTTTTTAAGTGTCTTTTATACCCTTTTTATTGTGTGCTTTTACTCTGAAATGTGTTTGCTTTTCAACTGGTTTTACTTCCTCCTGCATGCTTTTATTTTGAAATGTTTGGATCGGATTTGAACCCCTTCTGCCATGCCGATTGACAATACTCAATACTGATTCTCAATACTCAAATGTCCCCTCCTCGACTCCTCGGTCCTCTGGTAGTGACCCGGAAATGAATTTCAGCGTGCCATTTTGAAGGACGTCTAATTTCTCTAAATGCACACCGAGGACCGAGGATCGAGCGTCGAGGAGGCTCTCAGGAGGAGCTATAACCGAGGATACACTGATGGTTCCTCCACGGCTCCTCCGCGGATGCATTTCCGGGAACGGTGGAGGCATGACGCACGGCCGGACTTATCTCAGCCAATGACAGCTCTGCATGCATTCCCTGGATATTATTTTAGGAACTGCTTTCATCGTGTCGCGATGTTTCCAGAGAGAACAGCTGTGAGGTCCGTGCAGAAAGCAGAGCAGTGTGTATAATATATATCACTCAGTATAACAGGCCTACTCTCTTTATTTGCTTTAGTTTAGTAGATATCTAAAAACAAAGAGTCGATATTTTTCTAAGACCATTTAGTGCTTCACATAATAAAATACACAACGGCTGTAGCCTGATTATGCTTTAGGACAGTGTTTCTCAAACTTTTTCATACCAAGGACCACTTAACCAATAAAAAAACACTCGCGGACCACCTCACTCCACAAATATCCAAAATCACATCGTTTTTCTAGAACAGATTACAAATCGCCTGAAAATGGTACAAACAAGTACAACATGTCTGATGAAGGTGTTGCGCTGGGCTATTTCATACAATCAAAAGTGAAACTTACGCTCGCTCCATTGCGGAGATGTTCCCGCGAGAGTGCGGAGAGCTTAAATGTATTTATTTATTTCAAATGTGAAATGTTACCAATATACTCACGGACCGGGGGCGCTCACGGACCACCAGTGGTCCGCGGACCACACAATGCCTCTTTCACACCAGCGCTTTTTCAGCTCCGGCTCGGAGCTGGAGCCTGAAAAGCGCCGGTTTTTCCTGTTCACACCGCAGCGGCGCCGGCTCTTAGCTCCGGAATCTGGTTCACTTCCAGCTCCAAAAAATTGTCGGTCTAGACTCTAGAGGCAAGAGCTTCGGAGCTAAGAGGTGGCGTCGCTTACGTCTCTCTACGTCGAGGCGTGCAGGAAACTAAACCCACCTCCCCTGAACATGGGTCGACTGTCATGCCTGCCTACAAGCAGTAGTGCTTATAAACACACTTTATAAAGTCAGGCAACACTAACCAGGCTTCGTGTGATTCTGTTTATTTGTACCTTACTTTGACCATCCGTTCACTGTTATTGATCATTGTGGAGAGGGGCAGACGTGTTGCAAGTATTATAGCAGCTATCGGATGGAATCAATACATGGGCTGCACAGGTTGTCGTGTCCGACTATCACAAGTAGAATCATAATAAAAATACGCCGGTAAAATGTGCCTGTAGAAAACGGTTTATGCCACAATAGGATAGCAATAGCAAGTAGTCAGTTTAGCTTCGGTTGCTATGCTAACAGCACCCATTTTATACCAGAGAAACTTTCATAACAGCGTTGTGATACCAAACAGCGTCAATTCAGACTGACACACATTCACTTAGGCTAAGGGGAACTGGGGATATGTATCAGCTGCTTGTGTGAGTCGGACAGTGAATACTTTAGAGCGGCCGCTGCAGTGTGAGCTAACCGGGAGCTAACGGAGGAGAATAAACTCCCGTGGAAGAGCAGCCAACACTGCAGCGGTCGGTAAATGCTGCAGAAACACATTAATAAACAATGAACCACGGCACTCTGGAGCAAAGTATAAGGTTGGAGAAGTCGTTATTTAATTTAATCTGGCTTCATGTGATTAAAAGCAACACGATCATCAACCCGACGCAGTTGTTGTTGTTGTGAGCGCCGTAATGCCGTTGGGGAGCAAATCATCGATGTAAACGGTGACGTCATGACGCAGCAGCGGCAGCACCAGTCGGGCTCTGGGCGGTGTGAACAGAGCGGGAGCAGAAAAGGGAAACCGGAGCTGAACCAGAAAAGCTCTAGCTCGGAGCTAGAAAGGGAAAAGCGCTGGTGTGAAAGCCGCAAAAGAAGCACTGCTTTAGGAGCTGTAGGTGTGTGTGTGTGTGTGTGTGGCAGTGTGTAGGTGTGTGTGTTGTACAGTGCGTAGATGCGGCGGACAGACGGGTCTCAGTTGGTTTGGTGTCCTCTGCTTACTTTTAATACTTGTAAATACAACTTTTGGCCCGTAATTTCAATTCCCCATTTCAGCGACCAGAGAGAGGGGCGGATATATCCAGTCTCTGATTGTGTTACGTTATTATGAGAGTGCTCTCATACTTTAAATTGTATATATTATTTATATAAATATATTTATGTGTGTGTGTGTCCGCATCTGTAGCCCGTTTCTCAATCGCGAGGAAACTGGCTTCCAAGCCAATATTTCAAGGATACTACGTCATCGAGAGCCGCTGAAGGACTGTTCCAATCTCCAGCATACATGGAATTCCACCGAGGCCGCGCCCTTGGTTTGGGGGTAATTTCGAGGCTGCACATGGGTATACTTCGCGTCCTTAAAATCCCCACAATGCTTTGCGCACGGACCAATTTCCCCAAATCTATGGCGGAAAATGTAAGGCGGGGCCTCTCATATGACGCACACCTGCACACTTGCTCGCCTGTTCCACTCTTCGTTTTCCGAATGCCAGGAAGGATTCTTGCCTAGCTTCTGAAGGAAGTGACTCGGAAGACATGTGCTACCAAGCAAGCATCCTCGCGATTGAGATACGGCCCTCATTTCTCTAACTGCCTGCTGCTTCCCCTCCTCTCTCCTTGGTTCCGCTCCTCAGTCCTCCGCTCGCATCTCCTGTGGGCGGGACTAAGTCTCGAGGATAGGAGTCGAGGAGGGGACATTTAAGAATTGAGAAGCCTCTCTTGAGTTGCCACTCCTGGAGCCATTTGAATTGTTGTATTGTTTTCAGTGTATTTAATTATATTTATAAAATAGTTTCAGACTAGCTCTCTACCTGATTTAAAAGAATCCTTTCCCTCTCCATTAATTATACCCCTCCCCCTCCTTTTTTAGCTGCATGTCTTTTTCTATTTTACTGAAAATAATCCCTGTATGTGTTCCTGTTCAGCTGATACATTTGGTTATGCAAACAAGGGGATGAGCTGCTGCAGACAGGTGAGGACGTTAAAGGCAAAGTAGGAAGTCTGCCAGACTCCATTTTACAACTCGACAGAGCGGGAGGAAGGAAACAGGGTGAGTGTATTCATTATTTACTCTGTTATACTGGACGTCAGAACATTACTTCTTGATTAAAAATCGGTATCCTAGAGTCCAATGAGACTTCTGCAAATGCTGTAAACTGTGTTGATTAGATAGATACACACTCCTACCACAAGGTGTCGCCACATAGTTGTGACCTATGTTTAAATCCACATGTACGGTAAGGGACCCGAACAAGACCTCTTGATTAAACTTGGCTAACACTTTAGCATGGAGCACGAGTCAGTTCATTAATAGACCAACAAACAAAACATGGTACCAGGAGTAAATTATGAAGTAAAATAAAAACACATTAAGTGAGGAGTTGTGACAAGCGACATGGAAGGTAGCGCTACTGCTAACTATAGCAGGCCCACAGGCGATAGAAGTGTACAATACTTTTGTGTATGAAGAGCAGGCTGATAAAGACAAACTGGATAAAGTGCTCGAGAAATGTGATGCCCACTGCTCTCCCAGAAAGAACGAAACATACGAGAGATATGTATTCCGTTCAAGTGTGCAGCAGCATGAGCCTTTTGATAGCTTTCTGACTGACCTGAAGCTAAAAGCACAGTCATGCAACTTTGCTACGCTGAGGGACTCCATGATACGGGACCAGATCGTTTTTGGCGTGGAGGATAAAAAGGTCAGAGAAAGGCTGCTAAGGGAAACGGAGCTGACATGTGAAGCAGCTGTACAAATCTGCCATGCAAGCGAGCTGTCCCAAATGCACGTCAGGACTTTCAGCGAGATGGCGGGCGCGGCTAAGGTGAGTGATGGCGCAGCAGTTGGTACGGTCTCCAGCCAAGGCAAATGGCGCGCACAGACGCGGCCTACACAGCGGTCGGAAGAAGGAACATTCAGCTGTAAGCGCTGCGGCTCGAAGCACAAACCACGACAGGGTCCGGCATTTGGTAAGCAATGCTCTAATTGCCAGGGCCAGAACCATTTTGTTAAGCAGTGCTTCTCAAAAGGAAATGAAAGGAAGAAAGGAAAGTCTGTAAACATAGTGGAAGACGATGATTTAAGTGAGACATTTTTTGTTGGCATGGTGAACTGTGAAACTGAGCAAAAAGAGGTTAATGTAATCAGAGAAGACAAATGGATAGCTCCACTGATGATTAACGGGACAATAATAACTATGAAACTGGTGCAAAAGCAAACCTGATGAGCCTGTCTGACATCAAGGCAATGAAAGATAAGCCACACATTAAATAAAGAACACAGGCACTAAAAGATTATAATGGAAAGAAAATCAACAGTTTGGGTGTGTGCATATTAAAGGTAACCTCAAAAGGTAAAGTGCACCACCCACCTTTCTCTGTTGTCGCTGATGGACTTGATTCACTGCTGAGTGATAAAGCATGTGAAGATTTGGAACTTGTCAAGAGAGTGTATTGCATCAACACAACTGTGAGTACACCAAATGACTCAATTGATTGTATAGTACAGAGTTATGCAGATGTGTTTAAGGGTTTTGGTGTGTTGCCCTTCACAAAATCCAGCTCAAAGAAAATGCACAGCCAGTTGTGCATGCTGCAAGAAGAGTTCCAGCGCCACTCAGAGATCGCTTAAAGAAAGAGCTCGACAGAATGACAATGCTCGGAGTGATACAAAAAGTTGAGGAGCCAACAGACTGGGTTAACTCGATGGTCTGTGTAAAGAAGAAAAGTGGTGATTTAAGAGTGTGTATGGACCCAAAAGATCTTAATGAAAACATCAAGCGTGAACATTATCAGATACCCAAGCGTGAGGAAATCACAAGTGAAATGGCATGTGCCAGCTTCTTCACAAAGCTTGATGCGTCTCAAGGCTTTTGGCAGCTGAAACTGGATGAAAGCAGCACCAAATATTGCACCTTTAATACACCATTCAGCAGATATTGCTTCCTCAGACTGCCCTTTGGGATCATCTCAGCATCCGAAATATTTCACAGAGCGATGGAGCACATCATTGAGGGGCTGGACGGTGTTCGAGCATATGTTGATGACATCAGTGTGTGGGGCTCTACACTACAAGAACACAATGAGAGGCTGAACAAGGTGCTGGAGCGCATACACAAGTATGGACTCAAGCTTAACAAGAGCAAATGCGAGTTTGGAGTTCAAGAAGTTGTCTTTCACGGAGACAAGCTCTCTGCACAAGGTGTACAAGCTGACCAAGAAAAGATCAGAGCCATACAGGATATGCCAAGACCCACAGACAAGACAGGTGTACTTCGCATTATGGGGATGGTCAACTTCATAGGTACATTTATTCCAAACCTATCTGCAAAGACATCTTGCATCCGTGAGCTCCTGCACAAAGAAAATGAGTTTAAATGGACAGTCAAACATGAGCAAGAGTGGAAAACACTCAGACAGACACTCACAACTGCACCTGTATTGACATTCTTTGACCCAACAAAGAAGATTACAGTTTCAACAGATGCTTCAAAGGATGGAATAGGCGCAGTGCTCCTACAAGTTGAAGGCGAGCATTGGAAACCAGTGGCCTATGCATCCAGGTCAATGACACAGACTGAGTGCAGATATGCTCAAATAGAAAAAGAATGTCTGGGACTGGTTTATGGCTTGGAGAAGTTCCACAGCTACGTTTATGGCCTACCTTCATTCACAGTAGAGACAGATCATCGTCCACTTGTATCCATCATTACAAATAATTTAAGTGAAATGACACCAAGGATACAGCGTCTCATGATGAAGATGCAGAGATATGACTTTGAGCTGATCTACACACCTGGAAAGCACCTGATACTTGCTGACGCTCTCTCACGAGCACCTACAGTGGATTATGTGAGTACAACTGAAGAGGATGTGAAAAGTCATGTGAACATGGTGTCTGCTGCGCTTCCTGTATCAGACACAATGTCCAGACAGATAGCTGAAGAAACAGCAAAAGACACAGAGCTGCAGTGTGTCATTGCAAATATGTAAAATGGATGGCCTGTAGGTTCCTGTCCGCTCTTCTACCATCAGAGGTGAACTGAGTGTCTGAGTGGATGGACTATTACTGAAACAACACAGGATTGTCATTCCACGCGCATTGAGACAGGAAGTACTACAAAGAATACATGAAGGTCATCTGGGTTTTGAAAAATGCAAAAGACGGGCGAGAGACAGTGTTTTCTGGCCTGGAGTAAATAAAGACATGGAGAGACTGATGTGTGTGACACATGCCAGACACACAGAAACAAACAGACTAAAGAGCCCATGATAGTGACTGATATGCCAACAGCACCATGGGATAAAGTTGGAATGGATTTGTTTCATCTCAAAGGTAAAGACTATTTAGTGGTCATTGACTATTACTCAAACTTCTCCTGAAATGGCACTACTATCAAACTCATCATCAACATGTGTCATAACACATTCAAAATCAATTTTTGCAAGACATGGCATACCTAACACAGTAGTGAGTGACAACGGACCGTGTTTCAACAGCAGAGAGTGAAAGCAGAACAGTATGACTTTAAGCATGTGACCTCAAGTCCTCATTATCCACAGTCAAATGGGAAAGCTGAAAAGGGAGTTCACATTCTCAAGCAACTACTAAAGAAAGCTGATGAGAGTGGCTCAGACCCAAATCTTCAGACGCAATCGTCGCAGTCTTATGAAAACAAAAGAAGCTGGTCAACAGCTCAGTGAATCCATCATTGAGTCTGAGTTCACACCTTCACCACAGACAGACTGTGATACTAACACTCCAAGTGAACATGTGGTCAGAAGATCTACAAGGGAAATCAGAAAACCAGATAGACTGAATCTGTAATTGAGGGACTGATTTAATGGATGTTAAAATGGTGTAAATGTTTAGACAATTTCCAAGTTTGTGCTAGTTAGCATTCTGAGTACATTTAGACCAGATGTTTATTTGTTATGGCATGGTAGAGAAATCAAAATGTTTGGTTAAAATTGATGTTGCACTATTTGTTTATATTACCTTAAAGAAAGGGGGATGTGTTGATTAGATAGATAGATACACACTCCTACCACAAGGTGTCGCCACATAGTTGTGACCTATGTTTAAATCCACATGTACGGTAAGGGACCCGAACAAGACCTCTTGATTAAACTTGGCTAACACTTTAGCATGGAGCACGAGTCAGTTCATTAATAGACCAACAAACAAAACAACTTTTTTGATTTCCTGGTTTCTGATTCATCATATTTACAAAACATGCAACAGCCCAGCAGACAAAATGGAGAACGTTCTGACTGATTTGTTGTATTTTAACTATGCTCAGCTCCGATCAGGGTTTTTGGGGCCGATCACCGGAATCAGTATCGGCCGATACCGATCGCCGATCGGATCATAGGGTGGGTGGGGGCTACGGGGATCTTCCATTTAAAGTGATGTTTAAAACTCAGTTAATGGGGCTCATTTTTATATTGCATCAGTTTATAAATCGTAACTGATCGAAACGTTCAGATGAATTTTTCAAGAAATGATGCGCTTCGGCAAACAACAAACAACGTCATTATTACATTCAAAGGAAGTACATTATTCAAATTTACACTTTGGATAATAACGGGAGAAATGAGGAAGCTCTCTCTCTCTCTCTCTCTCTCTCTCTCTCTCTCTCTCTCTCTCGCTCTCGCTCTCTCTCTCTCGCTCTCGCTCTCTGTGTATAACTAGTTTAGCTTGTTCCAGAGGTAGTTAAACTAGCTAAGTGTGTTAGGTCTAACTCTTAGGGTCCTTCTCACTTCGGTTAAATGGATTCCTTGCGTCCCTCACTTGCGTCGTTTCCCTGTGACTAGTCCCTCCCACCAGGGAAGCATGGAGAGACGCAAGGAAACCAGGAGAAGCAGGGAAATGAGTTTTAAGAGCTATGGGACGTCCTTTCCTCCGGAGCGTCACGTGAAGCGACGTCCGTTTGTGATGACGCTGCACAGCTGATCGTCTGACAGCAGCTCTGTCCCCGTTATTTCCACAAACACCCCCGCCTCTGTTAGCACACACTTACTGACACAAACATTTGTATCATCTGTTGTAGACCCCAATAAATAAAATAAAATAAGAACTCATTCTCAAAAAAGATAAACGCCATTCTTAAAATGTATAAACGAACAATAGTTTGATTAATATTGATTAGTGCACAATAGAAATAAAATAATTGAGAGAAGAAAAAGAGATATGTTATCTATCAAAACCCAGTTAGATTAACATTCATTGGATTGCACACTTTGTTTGTTTGTGTGGATATGTAGCACATTAACATTTTAATAGCACTTAATGACTGACTGAATAGAAATGACAATAAAGGAAAATGTAAAACGAAAAAAGCGATCATGAAAATGTTTCCAAAAAATGAATAAAATGATTTTTGACCACTTTGTTGTTCAGATATAACACATATTTGTAACTAAATGATACATTAATTGAAACAAAACACGGTATAAACTGAGGAGTGACTCCCGTGAGGTTCATGCATTTTCTTCACTCCGCTGGGAAACTGCTCTCATGTCAAGAAGCATCAGATCAGAGCATGCACTGCCTCGTCCAATCAGTGAGCGATACACAGTAAGGGGGCGGGGCGAGTGTCTGAGGATTTCATCGGAGGATAGTCTGGTGGTTCCTCGGTTATAGCTCCTCCATTATCGCTCCTCGCTGCTCGGTCCTCCCGCAAAAATAAGGCCAAATAGGCACGCTACTCATGATGGCGCAGACAAATCAACTTCCGGTGAGACCGAGACCGAGGAGCCAGGAAATGAAAAATAAGAGAAGTGAGAAGGGCCCTTAGTGTGTGTTTTTCTACGCTCATCGGTCAGTCACAGCAGGATTTCTGCTTCACACACGTTGCATACCGCTATTTTATTGTCTTTTTCGGACACCTTAAAATACTGCCAGACTGGTGAAGCCATTTTGGCGAGCTTGTTTTGCCGCACACAGAGAAAAGTGTCATGTATTTTGCGTCATCTGGGGCCTCATTTATAAAGCCTTGCTTAGGATTCACGTGGGAAGGTTGCCTATGTAGGACAAAGCAAATAAATACGCACAGACATTTTCCGATTTATAAAACACTACACACGCACGTCCTATGCTGGTTTCCCTTTTATAAATCACAATCAACTCAAAATGCGACGCAAAGTATCGGGGGATCCCTGCGGAGTGGAGTCATTTGGAGTGGTTTGTGTTCCAGCTGTCAATGAGCTGTGCGCAGCGTCTCCACTGCAGCCTGTGCGTCTTAACCCCCCCCCCCCCCCGCAGCAACTCTGTATCCACCAGTTAAATAAAATAAAACAAATGTGTTGTGTTATATCCAACCTGATCTCACCAGAATGCGTGACTCCACCACGACTCCTTAACACCGCATGGTGGAGTCACGAACTTTGTTACATTTACGTGTCTGCACCACGCAAACAACCCCAATGTAAAGTGAATGAGGCTCCTTTGTCGTGGTGCACACACGCATTTCTACAACGTCCAGCAGTGAGCTTTTATTCTATAAAACGTTTTAAAATCTACTTTATAGCTTGTAGTAACTCACGGGAGGCTACTTTTATTTTATTTGTATTCATAATAATTTGTATTTTTCGTCAGAATGTATTATGGTGCATTAGTTACGAATTTGTGTTCTCAAAAAACAGTGCATTGTGTGTAATACAACTGTGATTTTTATTAAATTAGTTAGTGTTTAAGGAAGGCCAGAGCTTCAGCTGTGTCCAATAGATTGTTCCCTTTAGTTAACGTTTTTTAAAAGAACATTATATTCCGATGATTTGATTGGAGCATCCCTAATTTTGACCAAGTTTATTATTATGATGGTTTTGATTGAAACAAGTGTGTGTGTGTGTGTGTCTCCCAGTGTTAATGGTTGATCTCTCAGACTGGAGAAGATGAGTGATTTGAAAGAGGAGGAAGAGGACAAATCTTCAGTCTCCAGCTGTCAGTCTCTGAAGAGTGACCGGTCCATGAGTCCACTTCCAGACTTCAGTAATGAACCTGGACCCTCAGACAGGAAGTAAGAGTCTGTTTCTACTGTAATCTGACCTGAAGAGGATTCAGTTGTTATGTTATCTGATAATCTAAACCTTAAATGATCGCAGTTAAGAAACTTAGTAGAGTACAGTGACAACGTTTAATTGAAAAAAAAAAAAAAAGCTGACCACTACCATGAAAAGCACTCTGTTTTATTAGATTTCGTCAAGCATCTGACTCTTAATGGCAGTTTGTGATTTTGAGGCTATTTCAGTGAAACAAGGCTGTTTTGAACATTTGACAGATTTATGCTTAATTCTCTCAAAAGGTTACCGAAATATACACTTTTCTTTTTAAAAGCTGACCACTACCATGAAAGTACTGGAGACTGCCCCTGTATTGTCACATAGATTATACTATCTGTGTCATAGTAGAAAACTCTGTGCTGTAATTTCTCCAATTCACTGTACAGTTTCAGCCAGTTTGTGATTTTGAGGCTATTTCAATGAAACAAGGCTGTTTTGAACATTAGACAGATTTATGCTTATATTCTCTGAGAAAGTTACTGAAAGATACACTTTTGTGTTTAAAAGCTGACCACTACCATGAAGTACTCTGTTTGAGTAGATTTCGTTAGGATTCTGACTCTTAACGGCAGTTTGTGATTTTGAGGCTATTTCAGTGAAACAAGGCTGTTTTGAACATTTGACAGATTTATGCTTAATTCTCTCAAAAAGTGACTGAAAGATACACTTTTGTGTTTACAAGCTGAAATAGAAGTAGATAATGAAGTACTTTGTGTCAGTAGATTTTGTTAAGAATCTGACTAATGGCAAATTTCCACTGCAGCGGGGTATCCCCGTTTAAGCGTCCTCGCTCAGGCCTCGGGCTGCCTCGCTGGCCGTCCGAGGCCGTGGCGCATTTCCATTACAGTTTAGGACCTGGGGTAGCCACGCAGTGTAGGCGGGGCGATCGGCTTTGTTTTTGTTCACATTTCGAGTTGTTCCGTCGAGCTCCCGCTGGATTTGATCATCCCCAATGAGATGTAGGAACTTCGTCACCTCCTCGGTCGACCACGGTGTGCTTTTCTTTGACGTTGCCATTTTTGTAGCTCTTCCGTTTACAAAAATGCTGTCTATAAAAATGCTGCAAGCTTGCTTCTAGATATATATGCGACACTAGGGATGATATCTCGCGCGATCTTGTGACGATTCTCTCTGACCAATCAGCAGTCGAGAGTGTTGACATCACTAGTTCAGCCCTGGCCCTGGTCTGAGGGAACCACGATTTTATGGGGCCGGAAAAAGAGGTAAAAAGTACCCGCTAGCCGGGGCTACGCGATATGGAAAGGCCACCAAAAACTGGCCTAGCCGCTTGAGGACGGTTAAGGACGCTTAAACGGGGCTACCCGCTGCAGTGGAAATGCGCCATTAATGGCAGTTTGTGATTTTGAGGCTATTTCAGTGAAACAAGGCTGTTTTGAACATTTGACAGATTTATGTTTAATTCTCTCAGAAAGTTACTGAAAGATACACTTTTGTGTTTAAAAGCTGACCACTACCATGAAGTACTTTGTTTTAGTAGATTTAATTAGGATTCTGACTCTTAATGGCATTTTGTGATTTTGAGGCTATTTCAGTGAAACAAGGCTGTTTTGAGCATTTGACAGATTTATGCTTAATTCTCTGAGAAAGTTACTGAAAGATACACTTTTGTGTATAAAAGCTGACCACTACCATGAAGTACTCTGTTTGAGTAGATTTCGTTAGGATTCTGACTCTTAACGGCAGTTTGTGATTTTGAGGCTATTTTAGTGAAACAAGGCTGTTTTGAACATTTGACAGATTTATGCTTAAATTCTCTCAGAAAGTTACTGAAAGATACAATTTTGTGTTTAAAAGCTGACCACTACCATGAAGTACTCTGTTTGAGTAGATTTCGTTAGGATTCTGACTCTTAATAGCAGTTTGTGATTTTGAGGCTATTTCAGTAAAACAATGCTGTTTTGAACATTTGACAGATTTATGCTTAATTCTCTGAGAAAGTGACTGAAAGATACACTTTTGTGTATAAAAGCTGACCACTACCATGAAGTACTCTGTTTGAGTAGATTTCGTTAGGATTCTGACTCTTAACGGCAGTTTGTGATTTTGAGGCTATTTCAGTGAAATAAGGCTGTTTTGAACATTTGACAGATTTATGCTTAATTCTCTCAAAAAGTGACTGAAAGATACACTTTTGTATTTACAAGCTGAAATAGAAGTAGATAATGAAGTACTTTGTGTCAGTAGATTTTGTTAAGAATCTGACTAATGGCAAATTTCCACTGCAGCGGGGTAGCCCCGTTTAAGCGTCCCTAAGCGTCCTCGCTCTGGCCACGGGCTGCCTCGCTGGCCGTCCGAGGCCGTGGCGCATTTCCATTACAGTTTAGGACCTGGGGTAGCCACGCAGTGTAGGCGGGGCGATCGGCTTTGTTTTTGTTCACATTTCGAGTTGTTCCGTCGAGCTCCCGCTGGATTTGATCATCCCCAATGAGATGTAGGAACTTCGTCACCTCCTCGGTGGACCACGGTGTGCTTTTCTTTGACGTTGCCATTTTTGTAGCTCTTCCGTTTACAAAAATGCTGTCTATAAAAATGCTGCAAGCTTGCTTCTAGATATATATGCGACACTAGGGATGATATCTCGCGCGATCTTGTGACGATTCTCTCTGACCAATCAGCAGTTGAGAGTGTTGACGTCACTAGTTCAGCCCTGGCCCTGGTCTGAGGGAACCACGATTTTATGGGGCCGGAAAAAGAGGTAAAAAGTACCCGCTAGCCGGGGCTACGCGATATGGAAAGGCCACCTAAAACTGGCCTGGCCGCTTGAGGACGGTTAAGGACGCTTAAACGGGGCTACCCGCTGCAGTGGAAATGCGCCATTAATGGCAGTTTGTGATTTTGAGGCTATTTCAGTGAAACAAGGCTGTTTTGAACATTTGACAGATTTATGTTTAATTCTCTCAGAAAGTTATTGAAATATACACTTTTGTGTTTAAAAGCTGACCACTACCATGAAGTACTTTGTTTTAGTAGATTTAATTAGGATTCTGACTCTTAATGGCATTTTGTGATTTTGAGGCTATTTCAGTGAAACAAGGCTGTTTTGAGCATTTGACAGATTTATGCTTAATTCTCTGAGAAAGTGACTGAAAGATACACTTTTGTGTATAAAAGCTGACCACTACCATGAAGTACTCTGTTTGAGTAGATTTCGTTAGGATTCTGACTCTTAACGGCAGTTTGTGATTTTGAGGCTATTTCAGTGAAACAAGGCTGTTTTGAACATTTGACAGATTTATGCTTAATTCTCTCAAAAAGTGACTGAAAGATACACTTTTGTATTTACAAGCTGAAATAGAAGTAGATAATGAAGTACTTTGTGTCAGTAGATTTTGTTAAGAATCTGACTAATGGCAAATTTCCACTGCAGCGGGGTAGCCCCGTTTAAGCGTCCCTAAGCGTCCTCGCTCAGGCCTCGGGCTGCCTCGCTGGCCGTCCGAGGCCGTGGCGCATTTCCATTACAGTTTAGGACCTGGGGTAGCAACGCAGTGTAGGCGGGGCGATCGGCTTTGTTTTTGTTCACATTTCGAGTTGTTCCGTCGAGCTCCCGCTGGATTTGATCATCCCCAATGAGATGTAGGAACTTCGTCACCTCCTCGGTCGACCACGGTGTGCTTTTCTTTGACGTTGCCATTTTTGTAGCTCTTCCATTTACAAAAATGCTGTCTATAAAAATGCTGCAAGCTTGCTTCTAGATATATATGCGACACTAGGGATGATATCTCGCGCGATCTTGTGACGATTCTCTCTGACCAATCAGCAGTCGAGAGTGTTGACGTCACTAGTTCAGCCCTGGCCCTGGTCTGATAGAACCACGATTTTATGGGGCCGGAAAAAGAGGTAAAAAGTAAAAGGCCACCAAAAACTGGCCTGTCCGCTTGAGGACGATTAAGGACGCTTAAACGGGGCTACCGCTGCAGTGGAAATGCGCCATTAATGGCAGTTTGTGATTTTGAGGCTATTTCAGTGAAACAAGGCTGTTTTGAACATTTGACAGATTTATGTTTAATTCTCTCAGAAAGTTACTGAAAGATACACTTTTGTGTTTAAAAGCTGACCACTACCATGAAGTACTTTGTTTTAGTAGATTTAATTAGGATTCTGACTCTTAATGGCATTTTGTGATTTTGAGGCTATTTCAGTGAAACAAGGCTGTTTTGAACATTTGACAGATGTATGCTTAATTCTCTCAAAAAGTTACCGAAAGATACACTTTTCTTTTTAAAAGCTGACCACTACCATGAAAGTACTCTGTTTTATTAGATTTCGTAAAGCATCTGACTCTTAATGGCAGTTTGTGATTTTGAGGCTATTTCAGTGAAACAAGGCTGTTTTGAAACATTTGACAGATTTATGCTGAAATTCTCTGAGAAAGTTACTGAAAGATACACTTTTGTGTTTAAAATATGACCACTACCATGAAGTACTCTGAGTAGATTTCAGCACACAGGGTCTCTACTGTAAACAGAAAAAACATAACATTTTTAAGTATCTAATAATATACTATCCACATAATATACTAGTTTAACCCCTACCAACAAAAAAAACAACATTTAATAATTACATGATATTATAAAATAAAATAAAAAGTGCTTACCAGAGTTTTTCAAGATCGGATACAGGTCAAGAACATGCATAGAGGAGGTATGGTGCTGGCTCATTAGCCCCCTCACTCTTCTTAGAATGATCCTGTGCAACTTTTAAAAGTTGAACTCCTATCCCCTTATAAATCAAAATAACAATAGCCCTTAATTAACACTAACAGTAGACAACGCCTTGTATGTTTGTAAATTCATATTTTAATTTACCCTCACACTGTTGATTCTATGTATTTTAAGTGTTTACAGCTTTTCTTTGTTCACAAGCACTACAACTAAAGAGAACATCCTTAGTTATCACTATTACAACCTAAATAAGATCTTTTTAAAATTAATATGAATACCCTCTTTGCAAGCAGATACTTCCTTGTAGTTAACAGTTTCACAAAAACTTGAAAAGAAACATCCTTAGCAAGCACAAATCATTTAAAACAAACCCTGAATCAAATTTGGAGAGGACAATAACGTTTTTTAGGTGTCTTAGTGAGTGAAAATTAATGGCTGTTTTACTTAGTTTGATCGTATTTCTTTTTTTTAAAACTAACTCCACCCCCTTGCTTCTCACCTCACAGAGAGAAAGAGTGTCTTAATCAACATATAGATTAACATCCCAGGCTTATCTCAAACCCTCACACCGAAGGCCAACTCCAAACGTGTGTGTGTGTGTGTGTGTGTGTGTGGTGTGTGTGTGTGTGTTGTGTGTGTGTGTGTGTGTGTGTGTGTGTGTGTGTGTGTGTGTGTGTGTGTGTGTGTGTGTGTGTGTGTGTGTGTGTGTGTGTGTGTGTGTGTGTGTGTGTGTGTGTGTTAATTGTTCTTAAAGGTAGGGGGTAGATCATTTTGGAGAAACCATCTCGAGTGAGCTAGAATTTGAAAGTACACAACCGGGGGGGAAATCTGCCACTTCCTCACAGAGCCCCTCCTCCAACACACATGAACGTGCGCACATGACCAAAAGAGGGCACGAGATAAGTTTGTGCACAGATCTTCGGCTGTATGCGTCTGAACCCCGCACTGATGCTGCATTCGTTTCTTGACTGGCGCTCTGGACGGATGGCGGTAAGTTGTCACAGGCCTCTCGCTGATTAAAACCCCTATCGAGGTGTCTCTTGGCCATTTTTCTTTTTTAAAAGGTGACTTGGTAAGTGGAAATGACTGTCTTTTTATTTAGTTTGCGCATATTTCTATTTTCACCTAATTCCATCCCCCACTATCTGCTAGCGTCATAGCCACAGGAAGAGGTGGAGAAAAGGGGGGAGAGGCCTGGGCTGGGAGGGGGGCGGGAAGACAGTCTCACGCATAACTTCAAAGAGACACCTAGATTAACATCAAAGGCTTATAACACACCAGTGTGAAATCACACCTGCCTGTTATAACACCTCACACCAAAGGGCAAACATCAAAGGCTAATTAGATAAGTCAACTCTGAGGGGCAGGGGCCAGACAGCATAACTTCAAAGAGACTGCCTTAATCAACACCTAGATTAACATCAGAGGCTTATATCACACCTACCTGCTATAACACCTCACATCAAAGGACTAGACTACAAAGGGGTGTGAGGGGACAGGGGCCAGACAACATAACTTCTAAGAGACAGTCTAAGAGACTGCCTTAATCAACACATCAAAGAATTAGACAACAAAGGCACTACACAGGGGGGCTTTTCACAGCTGTTATAACACCCATCAAAGGATCTCGAACAAAGGGAGGCGGGACTTAGCGTATTAACATGATTGTACCCACTCACATCAAAGGATCTCGAACAATGGGAGGTGGGACTTAGCTCATTTGCATAATTGGGGGCGTGTTACCTGTCACTTTTTCATGCATACTAATGAGACGAAAGGGGTATGAATACTACTACTACAACGTTTTATTTAACACTTGTGCACCTTTGCACTATCTGCGATAGTGAATAATGTACTACAGTGAAATCATTCTCACACTCGACAAGTTGGACTTTGTGTTGGGTTCACCAAATAAAATACAAACATGTACCTCTAGTCCCATCTCACACCAAGATCAGAGGCACTACTAACATCTACCTAGGTCCGAATAGTGGTATGCCATGAATAACTTGTGGTAGAGTTAGATTATAGTTGAACATTTTACAATGTTATTGCCGGCAACATTCAACACAATTTACATTAGATTATGCCAACAATATGAAGAAAAAAAATAGAGCTGTTTAACATTCAAATAAAAGACAGAAGTCAAAAGCTGCTCTTTGAAGGAACTAATGATATTTGTAAAACATTGGTTGTTTCCACAGACGGAGAGCAGATTCTCCAGTCCCCAGTGACTGGTCTATGGATAAACCTCCAGACTTCAGTAAGGAACCTGGACCCTCAGACAGGAAGTAAGAGTCTGTTTCTACTGTAATCTGACCTGAAGAGGATTCAGTTTTTATGTAATCTGAAAATCTAAACCTTAAATGATCGCAGTTAAGAAACTTTGTAGAGTACAGTGACAACGTTTTATTTAACACTTGTGCACCTTTGCACTAATCGGTCAAATGCGGAATATCGGCCCCGATAATCCGATATTCCGCATTTGACCGATTATCGGTATCGGCCTTTTTTTATCAAATTGCCGATAAACTTTGGCTCTGATGCGGCCGTTTCTCTGGCTGAAGTCACCACTCTGTGTACACGAGCAATGTCCCGCCCACAGCGCTATCTGATAGGCTATTACTGAAGATTTTCCGGGAGGGAGCCAGCCAGAGAGGCGGGACCTTCTCAGATTACAGGCAGGTGCGAAAGAACGCAGACACAGACTGAAGCAAGCAGCAGCGCTGAGCGGCAGAGCCATACATGTGTTAAACCCATAAACTGTATATATAAATGGACGTAGGGTCCGTGACGTCACCCATAGGATTCTGCAGAGTTGCCGTGAAGCCCTTAGTAGGCGGAGTCGGCCACTAACGGCCCGACAGTGACGCCAGAGTTCAACTCCCGCCTTTTCCAGCCTGCTCCAAATAAGGGTAAAGAGGCGGAGCCGAGGCGGGACCTGCTGCCACCGAGCTGGAAGTTCCAGAGCTAGCTGAAGCTACCAAGCTAAGCTAACATGCTCCCCATCTGCACGCTGCCGTCGCATTTTACGTTTCTAAGGTAAGCGGACATGAAACTATTCAGCAAAACTATAAATAATAATCTAAGTTATTGAGCTTTTAGCATAATACTTCAGAATCTTAAAACCCCTTAACGTTTGTATGCAATTGTGCTAAATTCAACACTGGAATCAAGCAAATGTTAATATGTTTGCATGACATTAGTTATTTATATTTTGATATCACTTAACTATACGTTTAATACATTTAAGTCAAGCTAAGGTACATGTGATGGTAGCTAGTTAGTGCTCTTACCTGTGAGGCCTCCTCCAAACAGCATAATAACCAGACTGTATCATTAAAACTAAGTACCAGTTATAGATCCTTGACTTTAGACAAACAATTCAAAAGATACAATGTATTTAAAGACCAATCTTTATTTGAATGTGCCTCTTAACCTGAGATATTAGTTATACAGTAATAGTATTGACAATTTAAAAAAACTGAGCAACTCAACAGTCAACTTTATGTTTCTTATTGTCTAAAGCATTTATTATTTTCATTTTCCCAATCTCATATTCAGTGTGGACGGATTGAGACAGTCTGGTGTCCAGAGAGCTGCAGAGACTTCAGGGAGAAACCTCCGTGTGATGGTCCTGTCTCAAAGCTGATACCAACTGCACAGGCCTAGTCGGTCACTTTATTTGACTAAATGTGTTTAATACATTTAATAGGTTTACACCTTCTGTCCATATGTGCTTTTTATTTAAAACATTTGATTAACTTTTGGTTCACATTTCAATAAATTGTATTTGTATTTGCACTCCTTTTGTCCATTATTCTTACTGAAAATGTTAGATTACACATTCACATCTGACTGAAGATTGGCCCCATTTATTTGTGACGTTGCAAAACAAGGTACATGTTGTGAAGCTCATAAAGCGAGGCAAATAGAAATCATCAGCTGATGGAGTGTAGATGTGGAAATAGCTGCATTCGATCAGCTGACTGTTTTTACAATAAAAGTAGTTTCTTAGTGAATGTCCTGTACTGGTCTTAAAATCTCATAACATCAGCTTTTAATGTTCCTCTTGGATGTTCTTCTTGACCCTCAGAGCAGGAGAACATGTTGTGTCTTTCAGGCATGTCCTTTCCTAACAAAAATGACAGGAAACATAACACATATTATTGCAGAACAAGTGTGTTATTTATGAAAGCGGTGTGTTTGTGTGTTTAGGGGATGTAGATATAATTATTTTGTAATTGTAATGTTTTTTTTTTATTTCAACAATGAGCTACAAAGACAATCAGATTATGAATGAACAGTATGAAGTTCATCAACATTGAAATATATGTTATTATCAAAATAATATTGAACTGTTATCAAAACGTAGTGCAACTGTAGAAGCTTGCTCTGTTGTCTCACTGAAAGAATAACTTTTACCACGTTTTTTACAGACAATATTGAGAGATAAATAGTAGCAGTTCTCACTATGTGTTAAATATCTTTGCCTTCAATACATTAAATTAGAAAGCTGACAAAGTCATATTGCTAAATATCTAAATGTAACTTTTTGCATGGAAAAACCCCTCAACTTAACTGATGTGTAGGTGATCTAGTATTTAGTATTGTTTAATGGAATGTATATCAGTGTATTCAAGTCAATACTTCATTCATTTAAACCAATATCTTTCTTGATTCTTTGTACAGTATGAAAAAAGAGTCTTTGTACCTGAGCTGAAGTTCACTGCTGTGAGGAGTCCAGTTCTGTCTCTCACTCTCTGGTCCAGCCTGTCTGCATCACCTGAACACCTTAAACAAACAGATATATATGTAAAGTACCATGTGTACAAACAATATAACTGATTCTCTTCTGTTGAACATGTTGGATTGTGTATTGTCCGAGTCAGGGTCCTTTTTATTTTACTGTAACTTTGGAAGTTGTGTTACCAATGCTTACTGTTTATTTGATACCCATTTGGTAATACAATTAATAAAAACAACAAGGTTTGGGTTCGTTCTTCAGATGACTGTGACGTTAACGTGTAAGCTCGATAATGAACTCCAGCTCAACCAACCATATTGTAATATCTAAGTAATCATCTTGAAATATGACATTAATAATTGTAATATACACACATCTTATTGTGAGGTTGATTTCACATACACTACTTCGACATTAGCTTGTCTACATACTTGAGCATAGCCAATTTAAATTAACCTTAGATGCATACAGTTCTACCTACATAATAAAATATCTCTAAGTTACAAGGATGTAACCTTATTTTATCAACCTCAAACAGAAGCCGTTTGTTCAACAGTATTATCCCACTTAACACTTGTCTATTTCGTTGTAACCTTTATATACAGTCTATGATTTTAACTTGGAGGCTACGATTACAATCGTTAGCACCGATGTAGCTACCACTAGCTTACATGCTAACCCAAGCCTTACCATTCATTACGTAGCTGATTAAAATCATTAACACATAAATAAAGCACTAGAATTTCACTTACCGCAAAACCGCATTCATGCAGCGTCTGTTTTAACCGCAGAGCGAGTCACAATAGTCCGATATATAAGCATGAAGAACAAACAACCACGGCCGGCTACAAGTTGTGTTTCCTGGATGAACTGAGCAGGCAGAGTCCCTGTAGCTTCACGGAGCAGCTAGCAGAGAGACAAGAAGCTAACAGCGGCAGGCACTTGACAGAGCCGTCACTCAATGTGACCACGCCCTAATTTATGCACACACTTTAAGACCAAATATAAATAAAAGGGTGGCGTTAGAAAACAATTCACTCACAGATCCATAATCATGAAGGTGGAATCTAACTATATCGATAATAAAATGTATGGAGCCAGGGGTAGAAACATGTTTTTTTCTGCTGTAAAGTTGGGCATTTTAACATGGGGTCTATGGAAATTGCTCCTTTCTGCAGCCATCGCCTATTGGCCTATATATGAACTGCAGTGTGTGGCACTTCCGTATTGGCTTCCCGGCTCTACTCCACAGTTTTCCGCTTGGTTAAACCGAAGTTCAATAAACATCCCTATCCCCTATGCTGAAGTTTCAAAAACACCACGATCTTATGATCCAATTCTATCAGTTTCCCAGTTACACAGGGACGCGGGAAGTCAGTCAGAGTTGGGGGTGCGTGCAGCGTCTCGCAGCGGAGTAACTGTGGTGCGGAGGGGGGGGGGGGGGTTGATATGTGAAGCTCATTAGCTAGCCAACATGTATCTGTCGTGTTATTCAATAATACACGTGAGTTCAACTGTCACAATTACGTGTCTCTTTATTGGTAGCCCACATGCTAGCACACACCTAGCTCACATGCCCCGTTACCATAACATGTCCTCTGCCTATGACGTCAATCAACCATGCCCGTAAGGCTTCACTCCTATTGGCTAACACACACACATATACAATAACACCACAGTATCTAGCAAATGTTTAGCAACATATTAGAAGTGAGGCTAGACTAACGTTAGGTCTACTGTAATAGCCTCACTTTTAATAGTCTGCAAAACATTAGCTAGCACTAGTGTGTTGCAGTTGCTAGCAGTTTATTGGGATTTTATGCTAGATAGACAGATATAATAAATTAAGCATTATTGTTAGTTAAGCATGTCAGCCTGCAGCCCCACTTCTTGTCTCTCTCTCTGACTCATTGCAGATGACTGCACTAAAGAAAAGGGCACAGAGAGGAAACCAGTTGTAAGATGTTTAAAAGTTAAACATAATATATGCTTAAATGCATTTCAAAGAAGTTGTGTTGGAGTTTGTGTTATTCTACATTTTGACACCAAGATGTTCTGATTTTAACACATGTATGGCTCTGCCGCTCAGCGCTGCTGTTTGCTTCAGTCTGTGTCTGCGTTCTTTCGCACCTGCTTGTAATCTGAGAAGGTCCCGCCTCTCTGACTTGGTCCCGCCTCTCTGACTTGCTCCCGCCCGGAAAATCTTCAGTGTTGATTGACACTTCAGTAATAGGCTATCAGATAGCGCTGTGGGCGGGACATTGCTCGTGTACACAGAGTGGTGACTGCAGCCAGAGAAACCGCAGCATCAGAGCCAAAGTTTTATCGGCAATTTGATAAAACAAAGGCCGATACCGATAATCGGTCTGTTACGATGTGAGGTGCAGGTGAAAGAACGATACGTGGAGAGAGGGCTTTCTTGCAAAAAATAAACAGGCGTTTTATTCTTAGCCTTCCACATTATTCTACAGAAACACAAACTGCATGCCTGGTGCTGCATTCACCAGCAAGGAACAAACACAAAAACGAATCCCCTTCCCCTCTCTTCCCAACCACATTTATAGGAGACTGCCCGCCTTCCCACTCCAACCTGGCCAATCAGGTCATGGTTCTGAAAGCGGAGTGAAGGCTTAAATACAAAATTAAACACTGTTGTCTACCTTTAACAAAACCCTAAAGGCTTAAGTTATTATTGCATCGCCATAAATATTATATCTTCAAGAACAACAAAGTCTGCTTAAAACGGATAGTTTTTAACCTAATTGACACTCGTAAAATCACACATTTCCTGACCAATCGCGTCCAAGACGCCGCCTACTCATACGGCACATATAAGGAGTACTTTGGAGGCGTACTCCCCCTTTGAGCACTGGGACAAGATGGCCTCCAGGTCTGAACAAAGGAAATGGTGATTACTTGGTGCTTGTGTGTTTTACAGACTGACAAACGAATTTAGACGCATTTTATTAGTTTGTCTATGTAAACTGTTTTTATAACTTTAACTGAAATAAAGTCAACTCAGAAAAAACATGTACTACCTTTCTTAACAAACAAATAGTTAAGACCAACATGTTAGTGAGGGAGTCTGTGCGCTTCCTCACACGGTCAAATGCGGAATATCGGCCCCGATTATCGGTCGACCCCTACATTTCACCCCAAATTGCTCCTGTGGGGATTGTCCACAGTATTGAATGTATGTAAGTCGCTTTGGATAAAAGCGTCTAACAAGTTAAATGTAATGTAATCAATCTTGTATCTACATCATCGTTGACAATAAAACCTTCTTCAGCTCTAAACATTTAAGCAGGAACATTGTTTTCTAAACTAACTAATCATGTGTTCTTTATTCAGACTGGAGCGCTGCAGTTTGTCAGAGATCAGCTGTGCTGCTCTGATCTCAGCTCTGAAGTCCAACCCCTCCCATCTGACAGATCTGGACCTGAGTTACAACAAACTGCAGGATTCAGGAGTGAAGCTGCTGAGTGATCTTCTGGAGAGTCCAGACTGCAGACTGGAGACTCTCAGGTCAGTTCTCCATCTTCTACTTCTGTGCTGAGATTCATATGTGAGAGTTGTGTTGACTCTGAGCTGCAGACATCAGGCTGATATGATCCTGATCCTCACTGAGTATCTTAATGCTAACGTCTATTTTCTTCTTCTGTGGTTTAGTTAATTGACTGTGGCAGACAACTGTTTAGCTTTAAATGTAAATATAACAAGACGATTTATACACTGCATAATTCACTCTGAACCTCTTAAACACCTGGAATTCATCTTATATTCTCAATCAAGATGTATTATTTGATAAATGAAATAAAAATCACATTAATACAACGAATACATACGACAAATGAAACTATCAAACACTAAGAAATACATTCAGTATTTACTTTTTTGAACATTTTTATGTAGTTAAATGATGCTCATACATAATAGTTTAAACTGTATTGTAATTTCGTTGTACCTGTACAATGACAAATAAAGATCTATCTATCTAAACTGAAGATGCTTGGATTGTATGACTCCACTATTCCTAAAATAAACCTTTAGGATGTTTTCTTTCAAATTCCTTCAAAATTCATGAAGACACATTTGCCATCTTTGTTAACTTTTACCTCATTCACACCAACGGTGTTTCGGGGCCGGTTCGGAGCTGGAGCTTGAAAAGCACCGGGTTTTCCTGTTCACACTGCAGCGGAGCAGCCTCTTAGCTCCGGAATCCGGTTCGTTTCAAGCACCAAAAAATTATCCGGCCAGAGCAAAAGCACCACATACGTCACGCTTACATCGAGGTGGGGGCAGAGACAGATCAACTCCTGAACAACAACAAAAAGCCTGCGTTTTATCCAGTTTGTACACAACGATGGAGAAACTTAACAAGCAGCAGTGGTCCACTGAAGAGACCAGCTACCTGCTGGGAATCTGGTCTTCCGAAGAGGTACAGAGGAAGCTGGAGCACAATCGGCCATTGTTGTTGTTGTTGTTGTCGCTGTGAGGGGTTTCCGCGCGGTTTGGCTTTATGAAGCAGGCACGCAAACGGTTACGTCATGACGCAAACGATGACGCAATGACGCAGCACCAGTCGGACTCTGGGCGGTGTGAAAAGAGCCTCCGCTAAACCGAAGAACCGGTTCTGAACCTGAAAAGCTCTAGCATGGAGCTTGAACCGGAGTTGCGTTGGTGTGAATGAGGTATCAGTGATCTTGAGTTGAATCTGTTGCTGTGGGTTTGTATTTGTCTGGCTGCACATCATGAGTTTGAGTAGATGGAGCAGAGTTTTAGCCTTTTTCTCTTTTTGTATCTTGCAGTTTTTAACCTGTTTGGAGTGTCCACTTCATACACTTCTAGATTCTCTACTTCTCCAGCTAAAATCTGATTATTAAATCTTTAATATTTAAAGCAGGAACGTTGTTTTCTAAACTTACATCATGTGTTCTTTATTCAGACTGAGTGGCTGCAGGTTGTCAGAGAACAACTGTGCTGCTCTGATCTCAGCTCTGAAGTCCAACCCCTCCCATCTGAGAGTTCTGGACCTGAGTTACAACGATCTGAAGGATTCAGGAGTGAAGCTGCTGAGTGATTTTCTGGAGAGTCCAGACTGCAGACTGGAGACTCTCAGGTCAGTTCTCCATCTTTAACTTCTGTGCTGAGATTCATATGTGAGAGTTGTGTTGACTCTGAGCTGCAGACATCAGGCTGATATTATCCTGATCCTCACTGAGTATCTCAATGCTAAAGTCTATTTTCTTCTTCTGTGGTTTAGTTAATTGACTGTGGCAGAGCAATGTTGATGTTACATTTAAATATGACAAATATATCCTACACTGTGTACTTCACTGTGAGCCTACAACACCTGAAATGCATCTTTCTTTATCATGATTTATTTTAATGAATGATCTAAAGAACAAATGAATACATATTTCTATTAAAACTCTGAAACCCTTTAAATTATTTTCAGTATTCGCCTTTTCCAAAATGTTATGAAGCAACTTGATGCTTATACTGACTGAATAGTCTACAGATATGTTTGACTCCATTATACCTATGTTTTGTATCTTACAGTTTGGAATTTCCACTTTTTTTAACATTTACGTTCTCTATTTCTCCAGCTCTGAACAGATTATTAAACAAGAACATTGTTTTCTAAACGTACATCATGTGTTCTTTATTCAGACTGAGGTGCTGCAGTTTGTCAAAGATCAGCTGTGCTGCTCTGATCTCAGCTCTGAAGTCCAACCCCTCCCATCTGAGAGATCTGGACCTGAGTCACAACAAACTGAAGGATTCAGTAGTGAAGCTGCTGAGTGATCTTCTGGAGAGTCCAGACTGCAGACTGGAGAATCTCGGGTCAGTTCTCCATCTTTAACTTCTGTGCTGAGATTAATATGTGAGAGTTGTGTTGACTCTGAGCTGCGGACATCAGGCTGATATTATCCTCATCCTCACTGAGTATCTTAATGCTAAAGACTATTTTCTTCTTCTCTGGTTTAGTTCATTGACTATGGCAGAGCAATGTTAAGGAAAAATCTAAATGCCTAATTCACTCTGAACCTCTTAAAAACCTGAAATTCACCTTTCTTTTTCATGATTTATATTAATATATGATATAACGAACACATTTATAAAAGTAATACATATTTCTATTAAAACTATGAAACACTTAAAATTAGATTCAGTTTTCGCCTTTTCCAATCCAATCCAACTTTATTTATACAAGACTTTAAAACCTCCAGACCAAAGTGCTGTACAGAGATACATAAAATATAAAATCACACAGCTCAGCTCACAAAACATAAAAATAATACAATCACATAAAAGATACGAACACAAAACAAACCAGAATAAACGTAACAATTTAAAAAAAAACATAAAAACAACCCTATAGTAAAAACAATAGACTACTGAAAGCAAATAAAAGCAACAATCTACTTGTTTCTGAATGCTAAGGAGAAAAGGTGGGTTTTAGGATGGAATTTAAAAGCAGACAGTGTGGGAGCCTGTCTGATTAGCAAGGGCAGGTCGTTCCACAGTTTAGGGGCGGCAGCAGAGAAAGCACGGTCCCCTCTGCGCTTAGACTTGGTTTTTTGCAACATTTGTATGAAGCTATTTGATGCTTATACTGACCGAATAGTCTAACAATATGTTTGACTCCATTATACCTATGTTTTGTATTTTACAGTTTTAAACCTGTTTTGAATTTCCACTTTTTTAACTTTTATATTCTCTATTTCTCCAGCTCTGAACAGATTATTAAACCTTTTATAACAGGAACATTGTTTTCTAAACTTACATCATGTGTTCTTTATTCAGACTGAGGTGCTGCAGTCTGTCAGAGATCAGCTGTGCTGCTCTGATCTCAGCTCTGAAGTCCAACCCCTCCCATCTGAGAGATCTGGACCTGAGTTTCAACATCAACCTGAAGGATTCAGGAGTGAAGCTGCTGAGAGATCTTCTGCAGAGTCCAGACTGCAGACTGAAGACTCTCAGGTCAGTTCTCCATCTTTTACATCTGTGCTGAGATTAATATGTGAGAGTTGTGTTGACTCTGAGCTGCAGACATCAGGCTGATATTATCCTGATCCTCACTGAGTATCTTAATGCTAAAGACTATTTTCTTCTTCTGTGGTTTAGTTATTTGACTGTGGCAGAGCAATGTTGAGCTATAAATTTAAATATGACAAAACAAACTACACTGCATAAATCACTGTGAACCTATAACATCTGAAATGCATCCTTCTTTATCATGATTTATTTTAATGAATGATATAAAGAACAAATGAATACATATTTAAGATAAGATAAGATGAACCTTTATTAATCCCCGAGGGGAAATTCAGTTGTACAAAGCAGCAACAGGGTAAGTGTGAAAAAACAGGACAGCAAAGATTATTAAAACTTTGAAACCCTTAAAATTATTTTCAGTATTCGCCTTTTCCAAAAAATGTATGAAGCAACTTGATGCTTATACTGACTGAATAGTCTAAATATATGTTTGACTCCATTATACCTATTGTGGTGGCTTCTTGATCCTTGTCTACAATTTAATAGCCACCTCTATCGGGGTTGTGGGTTCTGACGCGCCTCTCTTTGTTTCCAAACAATTCAGCGGAGATCGTAGTTGAATCAGATGAGCTTGATTCATTGATCCACACGGCATATATCGGAGGACACATTTATTCGCTTCATAGTAACTAAACATTTATCATTTTCCAAAGTAACAAAAAGAACACGGTCAAAAGACTTTTCCGTTTCCCCGTCTCATCAACCCCAGCTGTGTCCTATCGACCTACCATATATAGCAGTGTTTCTCAAACTTGTTCATACCAAGGACCACTTAACTAATAAAAAAACACTCGCGGACCACCTAACTCCACAAATATCCAAAATCGCATCGTTTTTCTAGAACAGATTACAAATCGCCTGAATATGGTACAAACATGTGGCAGGAAGTGTAATGAAGGTGTTGTGCTGGGCTATATCATGCCATTGAAAGTGAAACTTTAGCTTGCTCCATTGCGGAGATATTCCCGCGAGAGTACGGAAAACTTAAATGTATTTATTTATTGCAAATGTGAAATGTTACCAATATACTCGCGGACCACTAGGGGGCGCTCACGGACCACCAGTGGTCCGCGGACCACACTTTGAGAAGCACTGATATATAGGTATAGCCATGCACTTGATACTGACGCACATAAAACAAATAATAAGTGAGCCTTAAATTAATACATTTGAAACCATAGTGTGACTCACAAAAATAGCCGATAATTTACAGTATAATCTAATTTATATTATTATTAAGCCTAACATTCAGACAATAATAACAAAAGGAAAAATGGCTCTAACACCTATGTTTTGTATCTTACAGTTTTAAACTTGTTTGGAATTTCCACTTTTTTTAACTTTTACATTCTCTATTTCTCCAGCTCTAAACAGATTATTAAAGGTCCCATGTCATGGCCATTTCTACTGATCATAATTCCATTGTTGAGGTCTACTAGAATAGATTTCCATTGTTCAATGTTCCAAACTCACATTGGTTTCTCATTCAGCATCTCTGTATAGTATGTGTATTCATTCTCTGTCCTACACGGCTCGTTGGAGCTCGTTGGAGCTCCTGCCCCCCCCCCCCTCCCTGTGAGCCCACTGTGCTCTGATTGGTCAGCTCGCCCAGTCTGTTCTGATGAGTCCACCACTGTTACAGCTGGGTCTGGCTCAGGCTGTGTGTGTGTGTGCGTGTGTGTGTGTGCGTGTGTGTGTGTGTGTGTGTGTGTGTGTGTGTGTGTGTGTGTGTGTGTGTGTGTGTGTGTTTGTGTGTGTGTGTGTGTGTGTGTGTGTGTGTGTGTGTGTGTGTGTGTGGAGCTCCGCAGATTGGTCAATTTGGATGTAGTGATTTCAACCTGTCCCGGAAGAAAAAAAATGGAAACAGACAAATCTACAACGAGGCGTTCTGGGGCAGCATAGACACGTATTTTCTGTGTTACTCGCTACAAGGTGTACTTTGAGGGTTTTTGACTCTACAGACCGTTTACATGCAGAAAAAGCTACATAACACACAAGGGGACGGGTAATAACCAAGAAAGCATATGATGGGACCTTTAAACCTTTTATAACAGGAACATTGTTTTCTAGACTTACATCATGTGTTCTTTATTCAGACTGAGGTGCTGCAGTCTGTCAGAGATCAGCTGGGCTGCTCTGGCATCAGCTCTGAAGTCCAACCCCTCCCATCTGAGAGATCTGGACCTGAGTTACAACGATCTGAAGGATTCAGGAGTGAAGCGGCTGAGAGATCTTCTGGAGAGTCCAGACTGCAGACTGGAGAAACTCATGTCAGTTCTCCATCTTTAACTTCTGTGCTGAGATTAATATGTGAGAGTTGTGTTGACTCTGAGCTGCAGACATCAGGCTGATATTATCCTCATCCTCACTGAGTACCTTAATGCTTACGTCTATTTTCTTCTTCTGTGGTTTAGTGGATTGACTGTGGCAGAGCAATGTTGATGTTACATTTAATATGACAAATATATCCTACACTGTGTACTTCACTGTGAACCTATAACACCTGAAATGCATCTTTCTTTATCATGATTTATTTTTAATAAATGATATAAAGAACAAATGAATACATATTTCTATTTAAACTCTGAAACCCTTTAAATTATTTTCAGTATTCGCCTTTTCCAACATTTGTATGAAGTAACTTGATGCTTATACTGACTGAATAGTCTAAAGATATGTTTGACTCCATTATACCTATGTTTTGTATCTTACAGTTTTAAACCAGTTTGGAACTCCCACTTTTTTAACTTTTACATTCTCTATTTCTCCAGCTCTGAACAGATTATTAAACCTTTTATAACAGGAACATTGTTTTCTAAACGTACATCATGTATTCTTTATTCAGACTGAGGTGCTGCAGTTTGTCAGAGATCAGCTGTGATACTCTGGTCTCAGCTCTGAAGTCCAACCCCTCCCATCTGAGAGATCTGGACCTGCGTAACAACAATCTGAAGGATTTAGGAGTGAAGCTGCTGAGAGATCTTCTGGAGAGTCCAGACTGCAGATTGGAGAAACTCAGGTCAGTAAGGGTTCACTCAGTCTCTGCTGGTTCAGCAGTATTGTAATACACACAGGGAGGTGGATGTGTTTCTCACACTGAGTAATCACAAACAAACAGTGATGTTACCCACTGCAGTTTCTTTCTTCTTTGAATTATTCTATAAACTATATAAGGCAAAGCTACACTTTAGTAAGTAATAGACAGACATGAATTGTACGGAATAATGGAAAAGGTAGTTTTTCTAAAGGACTAAAAAGGTCAGGTAACAGAAGGCGAGCTTTATTAAAAAAAAGCAGATGACAAATGAAAAAAGGAACAACTTAACATTACCAAAACCAGGGAGCACGAGGAAGGATCAGGACAAGAAAAAACCTCAGGAACAAATAAGCGTGACAGGACGGACAGGTAGCATGGACGAGGAGAGACGACGAACAGACATAGAGCACAGGGGAAGAAAAAACTAAATACACAGAAAGGTAATCACAAGACAAGACACAGCTGGGAAGGGGAGGCAGAAACAAAAGGGCAACAGGTGAACACAATCAGACAATCAGACACATCAGGGAAACTAAAGACAGGAAGGCAAACACAGGCAGTAGGACAAGACAAGGAATCCATGAAAAGTTTCAGTCTGGCTTCAAACCAATGCACAGCACTGAAACAGCCCTTTTAAGAGTTTTTAACGATCTGCTCCTAGCCGCCGACTCAGGTAGCCCAGCTGTCCTGGTGCTATTAGACCTAACAGCTGCCTTCGACACTGTGGACCATAGCATCCTGTTGTCAAGGCCCCTCTTACTTGTGGGGTTCCCCAAGGCTCTATCCTGGGCCCCATCCTATTTTTATTGTATATGCTGCCCCTAGGTTTAATCCTCACAAAACGTAACATTCCCTTCCACTGCTACGCTGACGATGTTCAGATTTATCTGCCTCTCAAAGGAAATGACAAACACTCACTACAGCAGTTGATGGATTGCCTGACAGAAATGAAGTCCTGGCTGAGCAGAAATGTTCTTAACCTTAACGAGAGCAAGACTGAGGTCATCTTTTTTGGACCCCAACCTCCAGCCTCTTCTGTTGACATTCTGGGTCCTCTTAAAACAAACATCCTCCCCTCTGTCATGAATCTTGGAGTGACCTTTACTAACACTTTTAAATTCGACAAGCAGGTCAGCAGCGTAGTGAAATCCTGCTTTTTAAATTAAGAGTATTGGCCAAAACCAAGTCTTTTTTATCTTTTAAAGACCTAGAGAGGGTTATCAACGCCTTTGTGACCTCAAGACTCGATTATTGCAACGCTCTATACGTGGGTATGGACCAGGCCTCAATTAAACGCCTGCAGCTAGTGCAGAACGCAGCGGCACGTCTCCTCACCGGCCACAAAAAGCGTGACCACATCACCCCAATTCTGGCCTCACTACACTGGCTTCCAATTCTGTTACGAATTGATTTTAAAATCCTTTTATTTGTTTTTAAAGCACTAAATGGGCTGGCTCCGGCCTATATAGCTGAACTCCTCCAGCGCTACACCCCAGCCAGAGCGTTAAGGTCTGCTGACCAGCTGCTACTGGTAGTGCCTAAAACCAGGCTAAAAACCAGAGGGCACCGAGCCTTCGCGGCGGCTGGCCCTAGGCTCTGGAACACTCTGCCCCTCCATGTGAGGTCGGCCCAGACCCTAGGGGTTTTTAAATCTAAACTAAAAACTTACTTATTCACCCTGGCCTTCTAATCAGAGCAGAGCACGACTCATGACACTTCCCTGTGTTTGATTTTTATATTTGATGTTGTAATTTATTGTCTTCTGTTTACATCGGTAGGAATGTGTTATTTATTATCTGCATGTGCAGCACTTTGGCTCGACCGAAAATCGTTTTTAAATGTGCTATAGAAATAAAATTTGATTTGATTTGAAGACAAGACACAAGAAAGGTTTCTAATTTCGCTAATTTCCCCTCCTCGACTCCTATCCTCGTGTCTTAGTCCCGCCCTCCATCTCAACAAGTGTCCATCTCAACAAGGTTCCATCTCAACAAGGTTCCATCTCAACAAGTGTCCATCTCAACAAGTGTCCATCTCAACAAGTGTCCATCTCAACAAGGTTCCATCTCAACAAGTGTCCATCTCAACAAGTGTCCATCTCAACAAGTGTCCATCTCAACAAGGTTCCATCTCAACAAGGTTCCATCTCAACAAGGTTCCATCTCAACAAGTGTCCATCTCAACAAGTGTCCATCTCAACAAGGTTCCATCTCAACAAGTGTCCATCTCAACAAGTGTCCATCTCAACAAGGTTCCATCTCAACAAGTGTCCATCTCAACAAGTGTCCATCTCAACAAGGTTCCATCTCAACAAGTGTCCATCTCAACAAGGTTCCATCTCAACAAGGTTCCATCTCAACAAGGTTCCATCTCAACAAGTTTCCATCTCAACAAGGTTCCATCTCAACAAGGTTCCATCTCAACAAGGTTCCATCTCAACAAGGTTCCATCTCAACAAGTGTCCATCTCAACAAGTGTCCATCTCAACAAGTGTCCATCTCAACAAGGTTCCATCTCAACAAGGTTCCATCTCAACAAGTGTCCATCTCAACAAGTGTCCATCTCAACAAGTGTCCATCTCAACAAGTGTGAAGGTTTTCGCTGGACTTTATGACAGAAGTTATTTAATACTTCAGTTTCATATAAGCATGTCTGCTTATTAATCTGTCATCCCACCCAGAACATACAATATGCAATGCAGCCAAACAATACTGTAATGTAAAGCGTCTTTGAGAACTCGGAAAAGCGCTGTATAAAATAAATGCAGGATTACCTTAATACTGGGATGAGCGGAAGCATCCAAATCCTCATTTCCCTCGTTTGTCACGCTGTGTTTCTGTTCACCTGGTTTGCAACTTTTTCTCATGAGAATCCATTTTTTCTCTACAAACACTTGCTAACTAGCATGAAATGGAGAAGATATTCGATCGTAGCCAAGCTAGCGAAAGTAAAAAAGTGCCAGGTTGGTCGTCCTCCAATTTAAATGCTCCAATTTAGCGATATAATTAATTTAAGTAAATGAGCATGGACATGATAACATATTTTTAAGGACCTTAAGTTTATTTTTTCTATACTATCCCACCATGTATCTTCCCGTCCAAGAGCACATTCGCCATGTAGCAGTTGTAGTCAAGTCACCACTCTTCGAGTCCAAGTCCGAGTCACCAAGGGAGAGTCGAGTTTGGCTACAATTCTTGTAATATGCTTATTACTAATATTAATATTATTATTAGGGTCTGAGACCAGAGGTCAGCGAAGACCCTATTGAAATATACCTGCGAAAAACACCCAAAACAGGGAAAAGGACCGGCAAAAGCACAGAAAAGGTTCGGAAATCATTACGGCTGATAGGCCGCTTGAGCCCTTTCCATAACAATGCATCCCTTGCCAAATAATTCCATGTTGTTGTAATTCAATGGAATATCGTCCAAACGGCCCCAGACTTCAGATAATGGCTAATGGTCCGGCCCTGAACAGCTCTATGTCAATTAGGGGATGTCATCATATGCCGTTGCCATGGCGACAGATCGCTCGCCATGAAACATGGTGTTGTCGTAATTCAATGGAAAATCGTCCAAACAGCACCAGACTTCAGACTATCATTAATGGTCCGGCCCTCAACAGCTCTATGTCAATTAAGGGATGTCCTCATATGCCGTTGCCATGGCAACGCGGGCCTCGCCATAAAACACAATGTTGTCCTAATTCAATGGAAAATGGTCCAAACTGTACCAGACTTCAGATGACAGTTAATGGTCCGGCCCTCAACAGCTCTACGCCAATTATGGGATGTCATCATATGCCGTTTCCATGGCAATGCGTCCCTCGCCAATAAACCTGGTGTTGTCGTAATTCAATGGAAAATCGTCCAAACGCCACCAGACTTCAGATGATGGCTAATGGTCCGGCCCTCAACACCTCAATATGACAATAGTGAGTTTTCCCCAAAAGCTGTTGCCATGGCAACACACCCCTCGCCGTTAAGCACGATATTGCTATAAGTCCTGTGTAAATGGTCAAAAACTGTTCAAACTGTACATGTGTGCTAACCGTCAAGCCCTCAACACATATATGTGTCCATTTTGAGATTGTCAAATGTCGTTGCTATGGTAACAAAATGGTCGCCGTGAAACACCGTTCTCTCAGAATTCCAGTTAACATGCTCCAAACTGCCCAAAACTTCACAGGTTTGATAACGATGCAGCCCTCAACACATCTAAGCATATTATGGGGTGTCATAAATTCCGTTGCCATGGCGACAGATCACTCTCCATCAAACACAATGTTTATGATACTGCTGTAACTCCCATGTACGTTGTCCGATCGACCTGAAACTTCCCACGTTTGCCAACGGCCGAGTCCTCGACACATCTGCCTGACGTTGACTTGCGGACAACAGCCTGCGGAGCGTCGAAAACCCGCTCAACGCTGCTTGCAGCTTTAATTATTTTTATTATTGTAAATTACCTTTAATATATCTAATAGGGGTGTAACGGTTCACAGAAGTCTATCAATAAAGATTAAGCCCCAGAAAGCACTTAGCATGCACAATGACGACATTCTGCATGTTAAGTAGCCATGTGCTTTCGTGTTATCGGCTAAATCTTTATTTATTTATTAGATCACGTTACTCTGATGATAGTGTTCAAGACAGCCTATATGTCTGAACTCGATCCTTAGAGTAATGTGTTACAGAGCTTTCTCTTCAATAGTGTTTCCACATAACGAGCATTTTGCGCTGCTCTTTTCCAATTTGGAACTAGAATGAGTGAAAGCATACAGCACGATGCGGGGTGTGTCTCTAGACATCTTTAGACTGGAATAGCGGGCCTAGTACCTAGTAATCCTTGGCTCACTTACATAGGGCCTTGCTGTCCGGATTGGTGGATCAATATTCTGCAAAGGCTGGACAGGCCAATCGGATAAGGAGGCAGGCCTGCTAATTTGAAGTAGATTGAATTTTCCATGTGGCTCAGCTTTTAGCAGGTGTGTCGAGGTTTCAACTTGTAGCCTTGGATTATCAGCACGCATTGCATAGGGATATTGTTGAACAGGGTCATAGTATACTTCTGAGTCCTGCCTTGACTTTGAAACCATGTCACTTCTTAATTGTTTCATCTGTTCAAAAAGTATTGCCTCAGTCTGCTTAGACCTTTGCACAAACTCTCTAATTTCTTCCATGAAGCTTACTGTAGAGAGTTCCTCACCCCCAGTATGGGCTGTAAACACTTTAGGGCAAACCACCAGCTCTTCCTCATCTTCTTCACTTTCAGCTGCCACGGCTCCCTCAAGTGGAGATTCTTCTTCCATTGTCCCTCGTCTTTTTTCTTCCTCCATGTCTGGCAAGGCTGTGGCCCTTGCCTGACGACCTCTTCCACGTCCACCTCTCATTTAGTCACTCTGTGCTCTAAGACTCCTCACAGGCGTTTAAATATTCCACCACTGCCACCAATTGTTACGATGTGAGGTGCAGGTGAAAGAACGATACGTGGAGAGAGGGCTTTCTTGCAAAAAATAAACAGGCGTTTTATTCTTAGCCTTCCACATTATTCTACAGAAACACAAACTGCATGCCTGGTGCTGCATTCACCAGCAAGGAACAAACACAAAAACGAATCCCCTTCCCCTCTCTTCCCAACCACATTTATAGGAGACTGCCCGCCTTCCCACTCCAACCTGGCCAATCAGGTCATGGTTCTGAAAGCGGAGTGAAGGCTTAAATACAAAATTAAACACTGTTGTCTACCTTTAATAAAACCCTAAAGGCTTAAGTAAATTCATTATTGCATCGCCATAAATATTATATCTTCAAGAACAACAAGGTCTGCTTAAAACGGATAGTTTTTAACCTAATTGACACTCGTAAAATCACACATTTCCTGACCAATCGCGTCCAAGACACCGCCTACTCATACGGCACATATAAGGAGTACTTTGGAGGCGTACTCCCCCTTTGAGCACTGGGACAAGATGGCCTCCAGGTCTGAACAAAGGAAATGGTGATTACTTGGTGCTTGTGTGTTTTACAGACTGACAAACGAATTTAGACGCATTGTATTAGTTTGTCTATGTAAACTGTTTTTATAACTTTAACTGAAATAAAGACAACTCAGAAAAAAACATGTACTATCTTTCTTAACAAACAAATAGTTAAGACCAACATGTTAGTGAGGGAGTGTGTGCGCTTCCTCACACGGTCAAATGCGGAATATCGGCCCCGATTATCGGCCAAGCCGATTATCGGTCGACCCCTACATTTCACCCCAAATTGCTCCTGTGGGGATTGTCCACAGTATTGAATGTATGTAAGTCGCTTTGGATAAAAGCGTCTAACAAGTTAAATGTAATGTAATCAATCTTGTATCTACATCATCGTTGACAATAAAACCTTCTTCAGCTCTAAACATTTAAGCAGGAACGTTGTTTTCTAAACTAACTAATCATGTGTTCTTTAATCAGACTGGAGCGCTGCAGGTTGTCAGAGATCAGCTGGGCTGCTCTGATCTCAGCTCTGAAGTCCAACCCCTCCCATCTGACAGATCTGGACCTGAGTTACAACAAACTGCAGGATTCAGTAGTGAAGCTGCTGAGTGATCTTCTGGAGAGTCCAGACTGCAGACTGGAGACTCTCAGGTCAGTTCTCCATCTTCTACTTCTGTGCTGAGATTCATATGTGAGAGTTGTGTTGACTCTGAGCTGCGGACATCAGGCTGATATTATCCTGATCCTCACTGAGTATCTTAATGCTAACGTCTATTTTCTTCTTCTGTGGTTTAGTTAATTGACTGTGGCAGACAACTGTTTAGCTTTAAATGTAAATATAACAAGACGATTTATACACTGCATAATTCACTCTGAACCTCCTAAACACCTGGAATTCATCTTATATTCTCAATCAAGATGTATTATTTGATAAATGAAATAAAAATCACATTAATACAACGAATACATACGACAAATGAAACTATCAAACACTAAGAAATACATTCAGTATTTACTTTTTTGAACATTTGTATGTAGTTAAATGATGCTCATACTGAGTGAATAGTTTAAACTGAAGATGCTTGGATTGTATGACTCCACTATTCCTAAAATAAACCTTTAGGATGTTTTCTTTCAAATTCCTTCAAAATTCATGAAGACACATTTGCCATCTTTGTTAACTTTGTGATCTTGAGTTGAATCTGTTTCTGTGGGTTTGTATTTGTCTGGCTGCACATCATGAGTTTGAGTAGATGGAGCAGAGTTTTTGCCTTTTTGTATCTTGCAGTTTTTAACCTGTTTGGAGTTTCCACTTCATACACTTCTAGATTCTCTACTTCTCCAGCTAAAATCTGATTATTAAACCTTTAAGATTTAAAGCAGGAACGTTGTTTTCTAAACTTACATCATGTATTCTTTATTCAGACTGACTGGCTGCAGGTTGTCAGAGATCAACTGTGCTGCTCTGATCTCAGCTCTGAAGTCCAACCCCTCCCATCTGAGAGTTCTGGACCTGAGGAACAACAACCTGAAGGATTCAGGAGTGAAGCGGCTCTGTGATCTTCTGAAGAGTCCAGACTGCAGACTGGAGAAACTCAGGTCAGTTCTCCATCTTTAACTTCTGTGCTGAGATTAATATGTGAGAGTTGTGTTGACTCTGAGCTGCAGACATCAGGCTGATATTATCCTCATCCTCACTGAGCATCTTAATGCTAACGTCTATTTTCTTCTACTGTGGTTTAGTTAATTGACTGTGGCAGAGCAATGTTGATGTTACATTTAAATATGACAAATATATCCTACACTGTGTACTTCACTGTGAGCCTACAACACCTGAAATGCATCTTTATTTATCATGATTTATTTTAATGAATGATCTAAAGAACAAATGAATACATATTTCTATTAAAACTCTGAAACCCTTTAAATTATTTTCAGTATTCGCCTTTTCCAAAATGTTATGAAGCAACTTGATGCTTATACTGACTGAATAGTCTAAATATATGTTTGACTCCATTATACCTATGTTTTGTATCTTACAGTTTGGAATTTCCACTTTTTTAACATTTACGTTCTCTATTTCTCCAGCTCTGAACAGATTATTAAACAGGAACATTGTTTTCTAAACGTACATCATGTGTTCTTTATTCAGACTGAGGTGCTGCAGTTTGTCAAAGATCAGCTGTGCTGCTCTGATCTCAGCTCTGAAGTCCAACCCCTCCCATCTGAGAGATCTGGACCTGAGTCACAACAAACTGAAGGATTCAGTAGTGAAGCTGCTGAGTGATCTTCTGGAGAGTCCAGACTGCAGACTGGAGAATCTCGGGTCAGTTCTCCATCTTTAACTTCTGTGCTGAGATTAATATGTGAGAGTTGTGTTGACTCTGAGCTGCAGACATCAGGCTGATATTATCCTCATCCTCACTGAGTATCTTAATGCTAAAGACTATTTTCTTCTTCTCTGGTTTAGTTCATTGACTATGGCAGAGCAATGTTAAGAAAAAATCTAAATGCCTAATTCACTCTGAACCTCTTAAAAACCTGAAATTCACCTTTCTTTTTCATGATTTATATTAATATATGATATAACGAACACATTTATAAAAGTAATACATATTTCTATTAAAACTATGAAACACTTAAAATTAGATTCAGTTTTCGCCTTTTCCAATCCAATCCAACTTTATTTATACAAGACTTTAAAACCTCCAGACCAAAGTGCTGTACAGAGATACATAAAATATAAAATCACACAGCTCAGCTCACAAAACATAAAAATAATACAATCACATAAAAGATACGAACACAAAACAAACCAGAATAAACGTAACAATTTAAAAAAAAACATAAAAACAACCATATAGTAAAAACAATAGACTACTGAAAGCAAATAAAAGCAACAATCTACTTGTTTCTGAATGCTAAGGAGAAAAGGTGGGTTTTAGGATGGAATTTAAAAGCAGACAGTGTGGGAGCCTGTCTGATTAGCAAGGGCAGGTCGTTCCACAGTTTAGGGGCGGCAGCAGAGAAAGCACGGTCCCCTCTGCGCTTAGACTTGGTTTTTTGCAACATTTGTATGAAGCTATTTGATGCTTATACTGACCGAATAGTCTAACAATATGTTTGACTCCATTATACCTATGTTTTGTATTTTACAGTTTTAAACCTGTTTTGAATTTCCACTTTTTTAACTTTTATATTCTCTATTTCTCCAGCTCTGAACAGATTATTAAACCTTTTATAACAGGAACATTGTTTTCTAAACTTACATCATGTGTTCTTTATTCAGACTGAGGAGCTGCAGTCTGTCAGAGATCAGCTGTGCTGCTCTGATCTCAGCTCTGAAGTCCAACCCCTCCCATCTGAGAGATCTGGACCTGAGTTTCAACATCAACCTGAAGGATTCAGGAGTGAAGCTGCTGAGTGATCTTCTGGAGAGTCCAGACTGCAGACTGGAGACTCTCAGGTCAGTTCTCCATATTTAACTTCTGTGCTGAGATTAATATGTGAGAGTTGTGTTGACTCTGAGCTGCAGACATCAGGCTGATATTATCCTGATCCTCACTGAGTATCTTAATGCTAAAGACTATTTTCTTCTTCTGTGGTTTAGTTATTTGACTGTGGCAGAGCAATGTTGATGTTACAATTAAATATGACAAAACAAACTACACTGCATAAATCACTGTGAACCTATAACATCTGAAATGCATCCTTCTTTATCATGATTTATTTTAATGAATGATATAAAGAACAAATGAATACATATTTAAGATAAGATAAGATGAACCTTTATTAATCCCCGAGGGGAAATTCAGTTGTACAAAGCAGCAACAGGGTAAGCGTGAAAAAACAGGACAGCAAAGATTATTAAAACTTTGAAACCCTTAAAATTATTTTCAGTATTCGCCTTTTCCAAAAAATGTATGAAGCAACTTGATGCTTATACTGACTGAATAGTCTAAATATATGTTTGACTCCATTATACCTATTGTGGTGGCGTCTTGATCCTTGTCTACAATTTAATAGCCACCTCTATCGGGGTTGTGGGTTCTGACGCGCCTCTCTTTGTTTCCAAACAATTCAGCGGAGATCGTAGTTGAATCAGATGAGCTTCATTCATTGATCCACACGGCATATATCGGAGGACACATTTCTTCGCTTCATAGTAACTAAAAGTTTATCATTTTCCAAAGTAACAAAAAGAACACGGTCAAAAGACTTTTCCGTTTCCCCGTCTCATCAACCCCAGCTGTGTCCTATCAATCTACCATATATAGGCATCAGCGACGTGCAGTCAGGGGAGGCAGGGGAGGCAGAGCCTCACCTGTCATACTCATAGACTGGCCATACTCCAATGTAACGGAAAAACAACTAAAGAAAAACTAAATAGTAATAATAATAAAATGTCTCCACTGATCTGTGTTGTAAATGTGATTTATGTTTGATTCCAATCGCTTTTTATAGTCAAAATCAGCAAATTTGCCGAGCTCCGCTACAACTACATGGGAGCGATGAGGAGTGAGGCAGGGACGAGCTCTGCCTCACGTAAGTCCGCAGTAACTTGCTGGAGCGCGGGCACTAATTTAGCGCGGGCACTTATTTTGTGAGCGCGCTCAAGCCAGTTACTGTGGGGTAAGGTGAGGCACAGATGAGCTCTGCCTCACCTCAAAATGCGTCACCCCACAGAAACTGGCTGGAAAGCGGGCCCTAAGCGCATGCCTGCACCATCTCACTGTATGTCACCAATGTAATGTTTGTAGATCCCTTTATTACATTTATCCTCGCCATCCATAGTCTCTAAATAACTTATTTCACGTATATATGATATTTAGGCTCGCCGTACAACGGCAATGAAAAAAGCACCAGGGGAGGCAGCCATAACCTCTGCCGCACTGAAGGGGGCGCACATGAGCCCACAGGTCCTTGTTGCTACGGTTATTCTACGCAGAGACGGTAGACGCAAACAACAAATTAGACTTTTGAAACTAGAGGAAGATACGGAGGACTTTTACAAAAAAGTAATAGAGATTGTTGTCCAGAAGGATAGCATGGACTTCATCTTCAAGTCAAGGTAAGACCACATTGGTAATGAAAATGGGATCTTACTAAGAAAGAACAATCCAATATTTAGATTGTGGGTATCCTTTTGTTGAACGGTCTGTTTAAAATGAATCGAAACATCAGACCAAAAAAGCTTTTGAAAATAACAGAATATTTCGATTAAGGTCAGAATATAATATTTGTAAATCTGACTCTGAAAGAGTCAGTGCCTCACCAGCCATGAACCTCACCGCACGTCACTGATAGGCATAACCATGCACGTGATACTGACGCACATAAAACAAATAATAAGTGAGCCTTAAATTAATACATTTGAAACCATAGTGTGACTCACAAAAATAGCCGATAATTTACAGTATAATCTAATTTATATTAATATTAAGCCTAACATTCAGACAATAATAACAAAAGGAAAAATGGCTCTAACACCTATGTTTTGTATCTTACAGTTTTAAACTTGTTTGGAATTTCCACTTTTTTTAACTTTTACATTCTCTATTTCTCCAGCTCTAAACAGATTATTAAAGGTCCCATGTCATGGCCATTTCTACTGATCATAATTCCATTGTTGAGGTCTACTAGAATAGATTTCCATTGTTCAATGTTCCAAACTCACATTGGTTTCTCATTCAGCATCTCTATTCACTCTCTGTCCTAAACGGCTCATTGGAGCTCCTGCCCCCCCCCCCTCCCTGTGAGCCCACTGTGCTCTGATTGGTCAGCTCGCCCACTCTGTTCTGATGAGTCCACCACTGTTACAGCTGGGTCTGACCGTGGGGCCTGAGCTCCGCATAGCTCAGTGTGTGTGTGTGTGTGTGTGTGTGTGTGTGTGTGTGTGTGTGTGTGTGTGTGTGTGTGTGTGTGTGTGTGGTGTGTGTGTGTGTGTGTGTGTGTGTGTGTGTGTGTGTGTGTGTGTGTGTGTGTGTGTGTGTGTGTGTGTGTGTGTGTGTGTGTGTGTGTGTGTGTGTGTGTGTGTGTGTGTGTGTGTGTGTGTGTGTGTGTGTGCGGAGCTCCGCAGATTGGTCCATTTGGACGTAGTGATTTCAACCTGCCCCGGAAGAAAAAAATGGAAACAGACAAATCTACAAAGAGGCGTTCTGGGGCAGCATAGACACGTATTTTCTGTGTTAGAGTTTTACTCGCTACAAGGTGTACTTTGAGGGTTTTTGACTCTACAGACCGTTTACATGCAGAAAAAGCTACATAACACACAAGGGGACGGGTAATAACCAAAAAAGCATATGATGGGACCTTTAAACCTTTTATAACAGGAACATTGTTTTCTAAACTTACATCATGTGTTCTTTATTCAGACTGAGTGGCTGCAGTCTGTCAGAGATCAGCTGGGCTGCTCTGATCTCAGCTCTGAAGTCCAACCCCTCCCATCTGAGAGATCTGGACCTGAGTTTCAACATCAACCTGAAGGATTCAGGAGTGAAGCGGCTGAGAGATCTTCTGGAGAGTCCAGACTGCAGACTGGAGACTCTCAGGTCAGTTCTCCATCTTTTACTTCTGTGCTGAGATTAATATGTGAGAGTTGTGTTGACTCTGAGCTGCAGACATCAGGCTGATATTATCCTCATCCTCACTGAGTATCTTAATGCTAAAGTCTATTTTCTTCTTCTGTGGTTTAGTGGATTGACTGTGGCAGAGCAATGTTAAGGAAAAAACGAACTCTGCATAATTCACTCTGAACCTTTTAAAAACCTGAAATTCATCTTTATTTATCATGATTTATTTTAATAAATGATATAACGAACAAATTAATCAAAGTAATATATATTTATATTAAAACTCTGAAACACTTTACATTTGATTCAGTATTCACTTTTTCCAACATTTGTATGAAGCAACTTGATGCTTATACTGACTGAATAGTCTAAAGATATGTTTGACTCCATTATACCTATGTTTTGTATCTTACAGTTTTAAACCAGTTTGGAATTTCCACTTTTTTAAATTTATATTCTCTATTTCTCCAGTTCTGAACAGATTATTAAACAGGAACATTGTTTTCTAGACTTACATCATGTGTTCTTTATTCAGACTGAGGTGCTGCAGTTTGTCAAAGATCAGCTGGGCTGCTCTGGCCTCAGCTCTGAAGTCCAACCCCTCCCATCTGAGAGATCTGGACCTGAGTTACAATGATCTGAAGGATTCAGGAGTGAAGCTGCTGAGAGATCTTCTGGAGAGTCCAGACTGCAGACTGGAGAAACTCAGGTCAGTTCTCCATCTTTTACTTCTGTGCTGAGATTAATATGTGAGAGTTGTGTTGACTCTGAGCTGCAGACATCAGGCTGATATTATCCTCATCCTCACTGAGTATCTTAAAGGGAAATGGAAACACTTTTCAAACTGCTTTCCATGCGACAATATTCCCAATAGGAAATGTATTTATCTAGTCTATTTCCAATGTAAACGATCGAGATACGCACATTTATTTTTTGAAATACGTGCCTAATGACCATGGGCGCTTCCATTGCTCCGGCACTTTCCCAGTGACGTCACTGAGTGGGTACGGCTTCCTGGGCCAAAGCTCAATAACAAACAACATGGCGTGCAATGCACCAGTAGTTTACATTAAAAGAAAACGGTCGTCGTCAGGAGTTTATTGTATTGCCCCAAGCTGCACAAATGGATTTTATACGAAGAAGGAAGAAGTACATTTCCATAGGCTGCCACTAACGGATGAGAAGCTGCTCAAAGCATGGGTTATTTCCATGAAACGGTCCGATCCGCCGCTGAATCAGTACGCACGTGTGTGCAGCGAACACTTTAAAAATGACGATTATGTCCACAAAATGAGGTTTGATGAGTCTGGATGACTGGTTCAATACAAAACATCGGATTTGAAGCCAGGATCTGTTCCCACAATATTCGATTTCTCAACGTATGCAGTCGGGAACACCGACCGTCCCAGCACGTCGGCCGCGCAAGACAATGACAGTGTCAACAAACGTGAAGTTCGAGCCACCAAACGAGTTGCTTCAGCTACCGAGAGAGAGGTAAATATTGCAGCACTACCAGATTACTAGCTCACACATGTATTTACTGACACAGTGTGACCTTATTAATTAACGCAATCGCGTCCAAACTAAATGGTAGCTATTATTATGACGTACAATGGAGAATTGGGGGTGTTCTATAGCTCAACTAATTAAACTGGCATACACACGCTCATCTGTCGAAAACAGCCCTAAAAAGGCTAGTATTGCTGGACTAGGTGTTCAATGGATGGTATTGCCAAGATGTATGAGGTGTTGGAAAATAATACAAAATATATGTCAACTGACCACTGAGACCGAGTCGGTACTGGAACTGGTGGTATCCCACTCGGCGAGTTCAGAACCGTCGGTACTTTCGGCGGATTCCGGATCGTATGCCACTCTAGTATTCGACCGAATCGGTTCATAAGCATAGGCCATGGGATGCCTGGTATCTGTTGTTTAGAGTCGGAGAGGTCCTGATAATTTATTCCGGTAAATTACTCTGACCTACTAATTGACCTGACCGAAGTTATTGAGTCTATGTAAGTTTACTGCTTGGCTCAGATCCACCAACGTCAGCAAGATCTCACCTCTATTAACTTCCCGAAGAACCAGGTTCAATTAACTGCTGTTTCAATTCAGTCAACTCTTTTTTAATCTGTTTAAGGGATCCCGAAGGATTTTGATATCGGTAAATGGAGTGTGCTCCTACCTAAGTGTATGTGGCAGGGTGCAATCTTACCTTTTAAGCAGGAGAGGAGAGCACAAGTGTCTTTTAAGTTATCCCAGTCCAAAAAGGTGGGATCAGTTTATTTGAAGAAAAATAGGTCCAAACTAATACAGAGTTTTTACCTTCTCTCTTTACAACATTATAATCATACTAAAAAAAATGGTGCTGTGATCATGTTCAAATATGAAACTTTAATTCACAGTCTTACATTTATTACCAAAATGTTTAATTTCAACTGCCCAATTCAGTTGTGACATTTTAAAATCTCCCGATAGAATTTAGAGGTATTTCCTCATAAAAAGACCGGTGACAATAAAAAGCGCATTCAACTTTTCATTCACCAAATCAATTCACATCAGTTTCATACCTTTTTTCCGACACAGACGGCGGGTACTAACATTCAAAAACACACACCTATCTCCCGCAGGTATTTCGGAGGAAGATCCTCACGGTGGCGGTTACTAATTACAAACACACTCCTATCCGACACAGATGGCGGGTACTAACATCCACAAACACATACCTATCTCCCGCAGGTATTTCGGAGGAAGATCCTCACGGTGGCCGTTCCTAATCACAACCACATCTCACAACCACATCTCCCATAAAATCATTCCACTCAGCATTCCAACCAAGAAATTCACTCAGCATTCAAAAAAATTCACTCAGCATTTCAACCAACACATTTCAGAGATATTTACCAAGTTTGAGAGAACCTTACCGAGAGCTATTAACCCAGCTCTGAAGGACAAAGCCTACTGGGAGAGAGTCTACCAGGGGAAACCCCCCTCTCTCTCGCGCTCTCTAAAAAAACCAGTCTCTTTATGCTCAAAAAACCGGATCGAAACCCCAAAAAACAAACACCTCCTCCACACCCAATTATGTGGAAAACTGGGCATGGCCTCTAATGTACAGGGCTGGACATGACCCGACATGTTCCATAGCTTATGGCATAAGACACACCTTCCCATGTTTGTGTAAAAAGGACATGACCCCTGTAGGATTTGAAAAATATTATTCTCGTTTATGACATCACCTTTTTGAGGCCTCTAATGTGTTTCTCCTTAAGCCAGGAGCCCCCCTCCCTGTGAACTGCTGTCAGAGGAGAGGGAGAAAACGGCCTACTCTCTTATCAGAGACACCCATAACTCTTATAGGCCTTACACTCAACTTAACAAACCACTTGGTTTTGTTTATACTGTAACTATAGAAACACCTAAAATATGAAGCATTTTCATTGTGGGTTATACAAGAATATAATTGATTATATTTGATTATAACTAACTTTCGTTTTAAGTATTAAACATACTATGAAAACTCTCAACACCCTCTTTTCAAAACGCAAAGTTATCAAATAGCAACAGATAAAATTGTAAGCATACATACATATTCAAAAACCATCAAGAAGCATTCTCATTATGGGTTTATACAAGAATATGATTGATCATATATGATTTATAATTAACTTTCGTTTTAAGTATTCACTTCATATGGAGATCTCAACACCCTCTTTTCAAAACGCAAAGTTATCAAATAGCAACAGATAAAATCGTAAAAACACATATTACATCCGTAAAACTTCAAGCATCAATATCATGAAAAGTTCTTCAGTATGTGTAATCAGGACGACCTTTTGATGAACCTGGTGTGAAAAACACCGAAAACATGGTACCTCAATGGAATGTTCTCGAGCGAGGGGCCCATCTGTTGTTCCAGTGTAGACTCCTAAATCCATGTTGCTATCTGATGTAAATCCTTGACCCTGACCATGGAGGGGTTGAGGTTCCTCCCTGGATGACACCTCCAAACGAAAGCCAGATAACTCGGTCGACAGTTGTTATGGATTTTTTAGACCTCGTCAATAATCGGTCATGACTTTGTGACAAGGTCAATGAGGCCCCACACAATGATAACAAACGAGAAACCAGAGGCATATGAAACAGCTTAGCTGGCACTCGCTCATGACATCCTGTGTGTGCAGTGTGGTGCTGGTGGTGACTTGGCACGTCACTTGTTGTCGTCTGCCGTTGGTGACTAGGACAGGTCACTTGTTGTCGTCTGTTTCTACCATCTCTCCTGGCCTGTGACTACGACCTTGCAGTGGCTGACATGGACCCACGTGGCTCTCTCTGTGACCTTGACCGCTGTCTGGGTGACGAGGAGCACCTGGTAGGGACCTTGCCAACGGTTGGATTTCCAGCTCTTTCTCCGGAAGTCCTTGACCAGCACGAAGTCGCCGGGTTGGAGATGGTGAAGTGGACCAGTGGCAGGGGGTAGGTAGGGCTGCTGCTACCTGGCGTCTGATATCTGACCATGCAGTTATCAGGTAGTCGTCATAATTACCGCTGGTGTCTTATTTTATTTTATTTAGTTTTCTAGCCCCTCATAAATCATGTGTATTTTCTCCATTCCTGTTCATGTGTCTTCTCGCAATTATCACTGGCCCTGTGTATCTCCTAATCGCTATAACCGGCCTGCTCTCGTCTATCCTACGTGCTCCACTGAGATCCAACATCTAGTTTCAGGTGGCCTGTGGAACTGCCAGTCAGCTGTTCCTAAGGCTGACTTCATCTCTGGCTACGCCTCCCTGCAGTCCCTGGATTTCCTTGCTCTCACTGAGACCTGGATTACTCCATCCAACACATCCACCCCAGCAGCTCTCTCCACAGCATATTCCTTCTCCCATACACCCAGACCCACTGGCAGAGGAGGTGGCACTGGTCTCCTGCTCTCTCCCAAATGGAGCTTTTCCCTCTTCAAGCTACCTAACTTCACTCCTTCCACCTTTAAATGCCATGCCGTCACAGTAACCCATCCTATACAGTTAACCATTGTTGTTCTCTACCGTCCACCAGGTGCCTTGGGGGACTTCTTGGAGGAATTAGATAATCTCCTCTCACACATCCCTGAAACTGGCCCTCCCGCTGTACTTCTCGGAGACTTCAACCTCCAGACAGGGAAGTTAGACGAACTAACATCTCTGTTAACCGCCTTTGCTTTCTCACTGTCTCCATCCCCACCGACTCATAAAGCTGGCAATGTCCTTGATCTCATATTCTCAAGGAACTGCGCTACTTCTAACCTCTCTGTAAACCCGCTCCACACATCCGATCGCTTCTTCATTTCATTCTCTCTACCCCTTTCCAAACATAACAAACTAATCTCTTCCCATCCTGCACCTGTCCGCCGTAACCTTCGTTCCCTCTCCCCCTCTACCTTTGCCTCATCGGTGCTCTCAGCAATCCCTTCCTCTGACTCGTTCCAACTCCTGCCTCCAAACTCTGCTGCAGAAACTCTGCTCTCTACTCTCTCATCCTCTCTGGACTCTCTCTGTCCTCTCACATCTCGGCAGGCTCATCAGTCCCCTCCTGCTCCCTGGCTAAATGATGCACTGCGTGCTAATAGAACCAACCTTAGGGCAGCAGAGCGGAAATGGTGGAAATCCAAACACCGTGACGACCTCCTAACCTATCAGGCTCTCCTCTCCTCTTTCTCTGCTTCGATCTCTCAGGCAAAAAGCACTTTCTTTCAAGATAAGTTCCAATCTTCCTATTCCAATCCCAAAAAACTATTTTCCATCTTCTCCACCCTCTTGGACCCTCCCAAAGCCCCTCCCCCCTCCTCACTTCTGTCAAGCGACTTTGTTATCCACTTTGAAAAAAAGGTTGATGATATTCGCTCTTCTTTTTCTGACTCACCTTTACTCACCGCTGGGTCACCAGACCCACCTTTCACCCACACACTAACCTCCTTTTCCCCTCTCTCTCCAAGTGAGGTTCTTACCCTCATTACCTCTGCCCGCCGTACCACCTGTCCTCTGGACCCCCTTCAAACCTCCTTCAGACTATCGCTCCTGATATTCTACCGTTTCTCTCCCATTTCATCAACACTTCTCTAACTTCTGGTCACTTTCCAAACAGTCTCAAGGAGGCAAGAGTAAACCCTCTCCTAAAGAAACCCACTCTCAACCCGTCTGATGTTATAAACTACAGGCTTGTCTCTCTCCTCCCGTTCCTGTCTAAAACACTTGAACGCGCTGTCTTTAAACAACTCTCCTGTTATCTCCATCAGAACAACCTTCTGGATCTGCACCAGTCTGGTTTCAAGGCAGGTCACTCCACAGAAACTGCCCTCCTTGCTGTCACTGAGGAACTGCACACTGCTAAAGCAGCATCCCTCTCCTCTGTCATCATACTGTTGGACCTGTCTGCTGCATTCGACATGGTGAACCATCAGATCCTCCTTCGCACTCTCAAAAAACTTGGCGTTTCAGGCTCTGCACTTTCCCTCCTCACCTCATACCTCAAAGACCGTACCTACAGGGTAACTTGGAGAGGGTCTGAGTCCGACCCTTGTCAATTAACTACAGGGGTCCCTCAGGGCTCTGTTCTTGGTCCCCTCCTCTTCTCCCTGTACACAAACTCGCTCGGATCAGTCATTAGCCCGCATGGTTTTTCATACCACTGCTACGCTGACGACACCCAATTAATTCTGTCCTTTCCCCGCTCAGAGACCCAGGTCGTCGCACGCATCTCTGCTTGTCTAGCTGACATCTCTCAGTGGATGTCTGCTCATCACCTCAAGCTCAACCTTGACAAGACTCAACTGCTTTTCCTTCCGGGAAAAGATTGTCCCACTCTTGACCTGACTATCAACATCGGCACCTGTGTTGTTTCCCCGACTCAGACTGCAAGGAATCTGGGTGTGATCCTAGATAACAACCTGTCCTTCACTGCAAACATCGCTGCTACAACCCGTTGCTGCAGATACACGCTTTACAACATCAGGAAGATACGTCCCCAGCTGACCCAGAAAGTGACGCAGGTTCTGGTCCAGGCTCTCGTCATCTCACGCCTAGACTACTGCAACTCCCTCCTGGCTGGTCTACCTGCATGTGCCATCCGACCTCTGCAGCTCATCCAGAATGCAGCGGCTCGTCTGGTCTTCAACTTTCCTAAATTTTCCCACACCACTCCGCTCCTCCGCTCCCTTCACTGGCTTCCGGTAACTACTAGAATCCACTTCAAGACAATGGTACTTGCGTACCATGCTGCGAATGGATCTGGCCCTTCCTACATCCAGGACATGGTTAAACCGTACACCCCAGCACGTGCACTACGCTCTGCATCAGCCAAACGACTCGCTGCACCCTTGCTGCGAGGGGGACCCAAGTTCCCATCAGCAAAAACACGTGGGTTTGCTATCCTGGCTCCAAAATGGTGGAATGAGCTCCCCATTGACATCAGGACAGCAGATAGCTTGCACATTTTCCGGCGCAGACTGAAAACTCATCTCTTTCGACTCCACTTCGAGCGATAGAATTATTAACAAAGCACTTATAAACTAATAAAGGACTGGCTTATCTATAGCCAGTTGAGTAGCACTTGAAATGTTTGGCTCTATGAAACCTGATGTACTTATATGATTCTGTTTTCTTCAAGGTCGTGTCTTCCTGGTCGAATGTACTTATTGTAAGTCGCTTTGGATAAAAGTGTCAGCTAAATGCAATGTAATGTAATGTAATGTGGAGGAAGTTACAGCGCCACGTACAGGCTCCTGCATATGTACTGCAGTTTCTCCAGCGGTCGGAGCTAAACGGAGCTGTCTCGTGTGGACAGACACTATCCGGATGACTATTGCGTGTGGACGGAAGCTTTTTTGCGTTTGCGTTAATCCTATGCGTTTAGCCGTTTTCGTCCTTGTGTGGCCGGGGCATGATTAGCAAGGGCAGGTCGTTCCACAGTTTAGGGGCGGCAGCAGAGAAAGCACGGTCCCCTCTGCGCTTAGACTTTGGTTTTTTGCAACATTTATATGAAGCTATTTGATGCTTATACTGACCGAATAGTCTAACAATATGTTTGACTCCATTATACCTATGTTTTGTATTTTACAGTTTTAAACCTGTTTTGAATTTCCACTTTTTTAACTTTTATATTCTCTATTTCTCCAGCTCTGAACAGATTATCAAACCTTTTATAACAGGAACATTGTTTTCTAAACTTACATCATGTGTTCTTAATTCAGTCTGGAGCATTGCAGTCTGTCAGAGATCAACTGTGATGCTCTGATCTCAGCTCTGAAGTCCAACCCCTCCCATCTGAGAGATCTGGATCTGAGTAACAACAAATTGAAGGATTCAGGAGTGAAGCTGCTGAGAGATCTTCTGCAGAGTCCAGACTGCAGACTGAAGACTCTCAGGTCAGTTCTCCATCTTTAACTTCTGTGCTGAGATTAATATGTGAGAGTTGTGTTGACTCTGAGCTGCAGACATCAGGCTGATATTATCCTGATCCTCACTGAGTATCTCAATGCTAACGTCTATTTTCTTCTTCTGTGGTTTAGTTATTTGACTGTGGCAGAGCAATGTTGATGTTACATTTAAATATGACAAAACAAACTACACTGCATAATTCACTGTGAACCTATAACATCTGAAATGCATCCTTCTTTATCATGATTTATTTTAATGAATGATATAAAGAACAAATTAATACATATTTAAGATAAGATAAGATGAACCTTTATTAATCCCCGAGGGGAAATTCAGTTGTACAAAGCAGCAACAGGGTAAGCGTGAAAAAACAGGACAGCAAAGATTATTAAAACTTTGAAACCCTTAAAATAATTTTCAGTATTCTTCTTTTCCAAAAAATGTATGAAGCAACTTGATGCTTACACTGACTGAATAGTCTAAAGATATGTTTGACTGCATTATACCTATTGTGGTGGCGTCTTGATCCTTGTCTACAATTTAATAGCCACCTCTATCGGGGTTGTGGGTTCTGACGCGCCTCTCTTTGTTTCCAAACAATTCAGCGGAGATCGTAGTTGAATCAGATGAGCTTCATTCATTGATCCACACGGCATATATCGGAGGACACATTTCTTCGCTTCATAGTAACTAAAAGTTTATCATTTTCCAAAGTAACAAAAAGAACACGGTCAAAATACTTTTCCGTTTCCCCGTCTCATCAACCCCAGCTGTGTCCTATCAATCTACCATATATAGGCATAGCCATGCACGTGATACTGACGCACATAAAACAAATAATAAGTGAGCCTTAAATTAATACATTTGAAACCATAGTGTGACTCACAAAAATAGCCGATAATTTACAGTATAATCTAATTTATATTAATATTAAGCCTAACATTCAGACAATAATAACAAAAGGAAAAATGGCTCTAACACCTATGTTTTGTGTCTTACAGTTTTAAACTTGTTTGGAATTTCCACTTTTTTTAACTTTTACATTCTCTATTTCTCCAGCTCTAAACAGATTATTAAAGGTCCCATGTCATGGCCATTTCTACTGATCATAATTCCATTGTTGAGGTCTACTAGAATAGATTTCCATTGTTCAATGTTCCAAACTCACATTGGTTTCTCATTCAGCATCTCTGTATAGTATTCACTCTCTGTCCTACACGGCTCGTTGGAGCTCCTGCCCCCTCCCCCCCTCCCCCCCTCCCTGTGAGCCCACTGTGCTCTGATTGGTCAGCTCGCCCACTCTGTTCTGATGAGTCCACCACTGTTACAGCTGGGTCTGACCGTGGGGCCTGAGCTCCGCGTAGCTCTGTGTGTGTGTGTGTGTGTGTGTGTGTGTGTGTGTGTGTGTGTGTGTGTGTGTGTCTGTGTGTGTGTGTGTGGAGAGAGCTCCGCGGATTGGTCAATTTGGACGTAGTGATTTCAACCTGCCCCGGAAGAAAAAAATGGAAACAGACAAATCTACAACGAGGCGTTCTGGGGCAGCATAGACACGTATTTTCTGTGTTACTCGCTACAAGGTGTACTTTGAGGGTTTTTGACTCTACAGACCGTTTACATGCAGAAAAAGCTACATAACACACAAGGGGACGGGTAATAACCAAAAAAGCATATGATGGGACCTTTAAACCTTTTATAACAGGAACATTGTTTTCTAAACTTACATCATGTGTTCTTTATTCAGACTGAGGTGCTGCAGTCTGTCAGAGATCAGCTGGGCTGCTCTGATCTCAGCTCTGAAGTCCAACCCCTCCCATCTGAGAGATCTGGATCTGAGTAACAACATCGACCTGAAGGATTCAGGAGTGAAGCTGCTGAGTGATCTTCTGCAGAGTCCAGACTGCAGACTGGAGACTCTCAGGTCAGTAAGGGTTCACTCAGTCTCTGCTGGTTCAGCAGGATTGTAATAAACCCAGGGAGGTGGATGTGTTTCTCACACTGAGTAATCACAACAAAACAGTGATGTTACCCACTGCAGTTTCTTTCTTCTTTGAATTATTCTATAAACTATATAAGGCAAGCTCAAAATGCAAAGCTACACTTTAGTACGTAATAGACAGACATGAATTGTACGGAAGAATGGAAAAGGTAGTTTTTCTAAAGGACTAAAAAGGACTAAAAAGGTCAGGTAACAGAAGGCGAGCTTTATTAAAAAAAAGCAGATGACAAATGAAAAAAGGAACAACTTAACATTACCAAAACCAGGGAGCACGAGGAAGGATCAGGACAAGAAAAAACCGTGACAGGACGGACAGGTAGCATGGACGAGGAGAGACGACGAACAGACATAGAGCACAGGGGAAGAAAAAACTAAATACACAGAAAGGTAATCACAAGACAAGACACAGCTGGGAAGGGGAGGCAGAAACAAAAGGGCAACAGGTGAACACAATCAGACAAATCAGGGAAACTAAAGACAGGAAGGCAAACACAGGCAGTAGGACAAGACAAGACACAAGAAAGGTTTCTAATTTCGCTAATTTCCCCTCCTCGACTCCTATCCTCATGTCTTAGTCCCGCCCCCAGGAGATGCGAGCGGAGGAGTCGAGGAGAGAGGAGGGGAGGCAGCAGGCGGTTAGAGAAATGAGAACTCCTCTCCTCTGAGCGGTCATTTTAAAGAGACGTCCATTAATGATGACAGGAGGCACAGCAGCCCTCTGTCTGATGGACAGATGTGTTCATGACCACTTATATATTTACTTTTAATTCATTCACAGTGCGGTATAATGAGACAATAACAGGCTACATATGCGGACATACACACACACATATATATATATATATATATATATAAATATATACAATTTCAGATTCAAACAAGTATGAGAGCACTCTCATAATAACGTAATTATTTAATTACGTATTAAAAGTAAGCATAGGACACCAAACCAACTGAGACCTGTCTGTCCACCGCATCTACGAACACACGCACGCGCACGTGCACACACACACACACACACACACACACACACACACACACACACACACACACACACACACACACACACACACACCACACACACACACACACACACACACACACACACACACACACACACACACACACACACACCTCTGTTATACTGAGTGATATATATTATACACACTGCTCTGCTTTCTGCACGGACCTCACAGTTGTTCGCACTGGAAACATCGCATCGCGATGAGAGCAGTTAATAAAATAATATCCAGGGTGCATGCAGAGCTGTCATTGGCTGAGATACGTCCGGCCGTGCGTCAAGACTCTTTGAAACATGACTGTTGCCGGAAATTCATCCATGGAGGATCCGCGGAAGATACATCAGTGTATCCTCGGTTAGAGCTGGCATGCTGTTTGATACTCATGGTACCTGTCACTAAAATAGAGTTTTGTAAACTGTACACTGTCATTTATGTTGTATGTCGTCCTTATTGTTGTTCTGTTGTTTTTATGTTACATGTGTAACCAATGTGCTGCAGGTCACCCTTGAAAAAGAGATCTTTTGATCTCAAGGGGCTTTCACCTGGTTAAATAAAGGCTACAAACAAAAGAGCTCCTCCAGAGAGCCTCCTCGATGCTCGATCTTCGATGTGCATTTAGAGAAATTAGATGTCCTTTAACATGGCGCGCTGAAATTCATTTCCAGGTCTCTACCGGAGGACCGAGGATTCAAGGAGTCGAGGAGGGGATATTAGAGAAATGAGAAACCTTCAAGGAGGAAAACATTTCAAAATAAAATGAAAACATAAATCCAAAACCATGATACTGTGGGCAGTCAGTCAGTCGTAGTGTTTGCAGAGAAGATATGATGTGATGTAAAGCATCAGATCAGTTGGCTCTTGTCAGGACTCTGAAGCTGATGAACTCAAAGAACAAACACTTATTTTAAACCTGATCCAAAACTGTTGGATTGTGTTCATCCCTACAGGATCAGAGGCAAGCCGATCACAGCCAAAATACAAAAGAAATGTGAGTATTGAAACCATATCAAGCTACTAATCAAGCTATTAAACTGTGATCTTTAAAGGAGCATGTCCTCATAGTAAAACAAAAACATTTTTAATTCAATTTATGTTTTATTATTATTATTGTGTGTGACACGTGAAGCGGCACATATACTTTTATCCTGCATAACTAGTCATCTTATTCTTAATTTTCCTCATAAAATTCCCCAAAATCGGGAATTGTGAACATTGGCCCATCCATTTTTATATAAATTGCGATAAACTAAGCACTTTTTTAACATAAGTGTGTTGCGTTGAATGCTTTGATCTTAAAACAGAGTGAAGGACAGCTCGTAATGTGGCTAAAATCTTTTTTTAGACTTACCATAATTCCCAAAACGTAAATAAAATGTGGTTAGGGTTACCTTTTTTAAATATGCCTATTAAGCGCTCTCAAGTGACCAAAACTTCTGAAGGCAGAGGTACTTTCTTTGTAACATCATTGAGATTTGTCTGGCCCTTACTATTAATTAGAATCTCTTTAGAGTTGCTTATTGTCAGCAGATACTATGGTGTAGTGGTTAGTGCATGTGTCTTGAAATCTGCAAACCTATATTAAAATCCTGGTGAGGGAAACATTTCACCATGTTTGCATTTTACTTCTAATTGGAACCAAATTACATGTGCAAGCTGATGGTCCAGCCCTGAATACATCTACAGGCCAATGGTGTGGTTTTCCCCACGCCACTTATCATAACCCTTTAACTATTTGTCGTAAAATCTTGAGAGATATCGTTTGACTCAAATGGACGTGGACACGGCCACTGGTGACCTCCCTCTAGTGGAAGGGTCCGTTTAACACTGCTCACAGCTTTATATTTTCATTTAATAACACACTATCTTAACCAAATTCAGAGATAGTAACAGTATCATTATTGGTATCTGCTTATCTATTGTATCAGACGCAATGTTTGCTTCGGTGCCAATCACTCACTCAAAATGACCTCGGAGTGGGATAAACTAGTTATTCCTGCTCTCTCACCTTCTCCTCTCAGGTGACTCCGATGTGGAACAGGATGTGAAGACAGACTGAGAGGTGAGAAGAGCAGTTGTACAGTGTTGAGGACAATCTGCAAGCTCAGGTTTTATTTGTTGTCAGTTTATTTATTACAGGGTGTGTTTGAGACGTAAAGAGGAGCATGGAGGCATTTCTGAAAATGATCAAGATGGCTGCTTTTTCTGTTAAAGCAGCCATCAATATGAAATGAACTGACGGTATATCTTTCATGAAAAGATGAAGATTTGAAAGACCATAATTGGTATATAACAAAAGTATTTTCCCTGTTTATATTTCAGATCCAAGAGGGTTAACTGTTGACCCGTGTCCATCTCAACAAGGTTCCATCTCAACAAGGTTCCATCTCAACAAGGTTCCATCTCAACAAGTGTCCATCTCAACAAGTGTCCATCTCAACAAGGTTCCATCTCAACAAGGTTCCATCTCAACAAGTGTCCATCTCAACAAGGTTCCATCTCAACAAGGTTCCATCTCAACAAGTGTCCATCTCAACAAGGTTCCATCTCAACAAGGTTCCATCTCAACAAGTGTCCATCTCAACAAGTGTCCATCTCAACAAGGTTCCATCTCAACAAGTGTCCATCTCAACAAGTGTCCATCTCAACAAGTGTCCATCTCAACAAGTGTCCATCTCAACAAGTGTCCATCTCAACAAGTGTCCATCTCAACAAGTGTCCATCTCAACAAGTGTCCATCTCAACAAGTGTCCATCTCAACAAGTGTCCATCTCAACAAGTGTCCATCTCAACAAGGTTCCATCTCAACAAGGTTCCATCTCAACAAGTGTCCATCTCAACAAGTGTCCATCTCAACAAGGTTCCATCTCAACAAGTGTCCATCTCAACAAGTGTCCATCTCAACAAGTGTGAAGGTTTTCGCTGGACTTTATGACAGAAGTTATTTAATACTTCAGTTTCATATAAGCATGTCTGCTTATTAATCTGTCATCCCACCCAGAACATACAATATGCAATGCAGCCAAACAATACTGTAATGTAAAGCGTCTTTGAGAACTCGGAAAAGCGCTGTATAAAATAAATGCAGGATTACCTTAATACTGGGATGAGCGGAAGCATCCAAATCCTCATTTCCCTCGTTTGTCACGCTGTGTTTCTGTTCACCTGGTTTGCAACCTTTTCTCATGAGAATCCATTTTTTCTCTACAAACACTTGCTAACTAGCATGAAATGGAGAAGATATTCGATCGTAGCCAAGCTAGCGAAAGTAAAAAAGTGCCAGGTTGGTCGTCCTCCAATTTAAATGCTCCAATTTAGCGATATAATTAATTTAAGTAAATGAGCATGCACATGATAACATATTTTTAAGGACCTTAAGTTTATTTTTTCTATACTATCCCACCATTTATCTTCCCGTCCAAGAGCACATTCGCCATGTAGCAGTTGTAGTCAAGTCACCACTCTTCGAGTCCGAGTCACCAAGGGAGTCGTAGTCGAGTTTGGCTACAATTCTTGTAATATGTTTATTACTAATACTAATATTATTATTAGGGTCTGAGACCAGAGGTCGGCGAAGACCCTATTGAAATCGGTCGCGCAGCGACCGATAAACCTGCGAAAAACACCCAAAACAGGGAAAAGGACCGGCAAAAGCACAGAAAAGGTTTGGAAATCATTACGGCTGATAGGCCGCTTGAGCCCTTTCCATAACAACGCATCCCTTGCCAAATAATTCCATGTTGTTGTAATTCAATGGAATATCGTCCAAACGGCCCCAGACTTCAGATAATGGCTAATGGTCCGGCCCTGAACAGCTCTGTCCATTAGGGGATGTCATCATATGCCGTTGCCATGGCGACAGATCGCTCGCCATGAAACATGGTGTTGTCGTAATTCAATGGAAAATCTTCCAAACGCCGCCAGACTTCAGACTATCATTAATAGTCCGGCCCTCAACAGCTCTATGTCAATTAAGGGATGTCATCATATGCCGTTGCCATGGCGACAGATCCCTCGCCATGAAACATGGTGTTGTCGTAATTCAATGGAAAATCGTCCAAACAGCACCAGACTTCAGACTATCATTAATGGTCCGGCCCTCAACAGCTCTATGTCAATTAGGGGATGTCCTCATATGCCGTTGCCATGGCAACGCGTGCCTCGCCATAAAACACAATGTTGTCCTAATTCAATGGAAAATGGTCCAAACTGCACCAGACTTCAGATGACAGTTAATGGTCCGGCCCTCAACAGCTCAATATGACAATAGTGAGTTTTCCCCAAAAGCTGTTGCCATGGCAACACACCCCTCGCCGTTAAGCACGATATTGCTATAAGTCCTGTGTAAATGGTCAAAAACTGTTCAAACTGTACATGTGTGCTAACGTCAATTCCTCAACACATATATGTGTCCATTTTGAGATTCCGTCAAATGTCGTTGCTATGGTAACAAAATGGTCGCCGTGAAACACCGTTCTCTCAGAATTCCAGTTAACATGCTCCAAACTGCCCAAAACTTCACAGGTTTGATAACGATGCAGCCCTCAACACATCTAAGCATATTATGGGGTGTCATAAAATTCCGTTGCCATGGCAACAGATCACTCGCCATCAAACACAATGTTTATGATACTGCTGTAACTCCCATGTACGTTGTCCGATCGACCTGAAACTTCCCACGTTTGCCAACGGCCGAGTCCTTGCGGACAACAGCCTGTGGAGCGTCGAAAACCCGCTCAACGCTGCTTGCAGCTTTAATTATTTGTATTATTGTAAATTACCTTTAATATATCTAATAGAGGTGTAACGGTTCACAGAAGTCTATCAATAAAGATTAAGCCCCAGAAAGCACTTAGCATGCACAATGACGACATTCTGCATGTTAAGTAGCCATGTGCTTTCGTGTTATCGGCTAAATCTTTATTTATTGATTAGATCACGTTACTCTGATGATAGTGTTCAAGACAGCCTACAGTATATGTCTGAACTCGATCCTTAGAGTAATGTGTTACGGAGCTTTCTCTTCAATAGTGTTTCCACATAACGAGCATTTTGCGCTGCTCTTTTCCAATGTGGAAGCAGAATGTGTGAAAGCATACAGCACGATGCGGGGTGTGTCTCTAGACATCTTTAGACTGGAATAGCGGGCCTAGTACATGAATTCGCCTTGCAGGTGCACACGCCAGGATAGAGGACATCAGACTCCAGAGAAAAGTCAGAGTCCAAGTCGGAGCCTCAATGTACAAGTCGAGTCCGAGTCATCGTGGGGAGAAAAATTCACGAGTCCGAGTCCAAGTCATCATGCGCGAGAATTCACGAGTCCAAGTCCGAGTCGCGTCAATCAGTGCGCGAGTCCGAGTCGAGTCCCGAAAATCGGCACTCGAGTCCAATCCAGGATTTGAGTACTCCATCTCTGCCATGTAGTGCTGGACAGACAGCCAGAACTGGCAACTCGGCAGTGAGTCAGTGTCGGGGGGGGGGGGCAAGTTTAAATATCTTCTTTCTTGTCTATTTTTGCATCTTTTATCAACTATTATTGTATATTATTTGTAGGCTAATAGAGCGAACAAGTTCAGTGTTTTAATGGGTTATATGTAAAAGCCCTGCTTGTTTTGAATGTTTTTATGTTTATGCACAAAATCATATATATCACCCCTTTATTTAGCCTACTGCCATGCGAGCCACCACCGGTTCCCTCGTCTCAGAGCCAATGGGATTTCTCCATAGGATTTTGGAAAATACCTGGAAATAAGGTCTGTGTTTGACACAAATTTAAGAGACGGGTCACATTTTGTTCTACGACATTAAATCCATCAGCAGTGACCCCACTGATGAGTTTTGAAGAGTTGACGTGTCTGAAAAACGATGGTTGTTAATAAGTGGCTGAATAGGACTACAGAAGTTGTCGAGGACGTTGAACGTCATTACGCCGAACACGTAAACACTCCCGCTAAGTTTGTTTGCCCCCGTTCTGCTTGAAAGCAAGTACCTGCCTCCTGCAAACTGTTAAAACAAACGCTTCAACTCGTACAATTTAGAATCTGTATTTCTGAATATGGATCCTAAATTGGCGTGAAGTTGAAGCAGCGACCCTGCTGTAGTCGGCTGTAGTTCCTTTATAGCATAACGTTAGCATTTTGCAATTAGATTTATGATTATAAAATTAGGGTAGACATGTGGAGATTATCCAGCTGAACAAAACGTGCATTTATCAAACAGGTTCGTTTTCCACAGACCTATTTCGAGCTATTTTCCAAAATCCTATGGATAAATCCCATTGCTTTTTTGTTAAGGGAATCCATGCGCAGTTTACTTCCAGCTAAATACTTCATCCCTGCACCACTCAACGAGGAACCCTGATTTACAGGATAAAACGTCCAGTTTTAAAAATGTTGAGCACCAAACATGAGAGTATATGATGTTCTGAGTGCAGAGGTGATATTTGTCCTTTAGGGTTGAAAATGGAAATGTACATCCTTCCAATGGGTATAATGAATAATAATAGTGTTTTAATGCAGCCGCTGGTTGCAGGAAGTGTATCTGTAGCAGAGAGGAGGTCAAGCGGTGGATTTGACCCGTGATGTTGGATGAAAGGTCAGCACACTGCGTGGCAAAGTGTTGAACTGACTAAACAGATGAACCACTACTGCTATGAAAGGCGATTTAATCTACAAGAATGAATGTAAAATGTTTAAATAAATTGCTTTGAATTCAAATCAACATCCAGTGTCATCCTATTATTTGTATTATGGCTATTTCCCCTGACATTTGGTACAAATTGTTTATTTTATTGTATTATAATTTGTACTGCATATTTATACTTCACATTATTTTAAACAACTCTTGCTACTGTAGTGTACATACGTTCATACACCAATTTAGGGTCTGTAATCATTTGAGACAAACCTAATATTGTTCATAATACAACCTATAATATGATTATTTTATTTTTTTAACCAGATATCTGATTTGTATTCAAAAGCTTTCAAAATGTGTATGTTATCACAGGGGGAAAATGCATGTTTAAAATTAGTTTCTTTGTTATGTTTATTTCTGGAA